AACTATCATGCTTTCATTTGTTGAATCATCAAATAACCAGTACACTAGAACTGAGCTGAGGATTATTCCTCAGCTTATATTTTTAATATTATATAAAACTTACATATGAGTTAAGTACAAATTTTTAAAATGCTGCATATATGTTCTTAACGGATTTTCACGTAGAATCTGCTTGTAGATTCAGTAAATAGTTTGTGCATTCAGTCAATCAGTACTAAGAATTTTATAAATTGTTATAAATGACCAGGTTACATAATAATAAAAAATAATTATTAAGGTAAGTTTTATTCATCGTCTGCTTCTTCCTTATCCCATTTATTTGGGGTCGGCGTAATATGTTTTTCTCTTTCATTCATCTCTGTTCGCAGTCATCCCGTTATTTACTCCCTTTCTCACCATATCATCTTTCACACAGTCCATCCATCTCTTTTTCGGTCTTCCTCTACCCTTATAACCATCCACATTCATATGTAACACCGTCCTTAGGATATGATCTTCATTCCTACGCATTACATGCCCATACCACGATAGACGATTACTCTTTAACCTCTCTGACATCGGTGCTAAGTATTAAGCTAAGTTTTATTAACTTATTATTTTAATTTCCTGTATAGAACCAATGCATTTAGCCGCAATACATTTACGACTAGGTATAAAACAAAATTAAGTGCGTCAATGGTACAGAAAAATATAAAATGATTCAGAACCATTTATTAGACATCTGTCATGAATCATAAATTTAACCCATTTACTATTTCTTCCCTATTTTTAGTACTTGTTACCTTATGGTTCCATACATGGAGTAACTGCGTATATTATATATATACTTATTATATTATATATACTTGAATATTTTCATATTATACTCATATAATGGGGCATATTATTTCTACGAAAAAATATTTTTGTAGTAAATACTACAAGTACATAATATAGAAAATACCCGCAGGAGAATTTAATACTAATTAGTGTGAATGCTTCAAAAATTATTATTTTATAAGTAACTATGCGTACTAGCCATACATATATACATAGTTACTCTCTCGCTTATAAGCTTAGAGACGAAAATACTGGATTAACTACCTCGGTTATTAATAATTAACATGACTGCGTATGAAAATTTACTTTTTTCCTTACTGAAGTAATACATATGTGTAATATATATACTACACAGAAAATTATATTAAGGCGAGTCTCATTTAAATATTGGTCCCCACCACAGAATTTATTTCTCTATTCTGTAATATCAATCAAGAAATAATTATTGAATAAGCTGTTTGTTTTTAAGCTGAATTTTTTTTATATTCTACACAATGCCTTTATTAAATATATTGACTACGAATATACTAACAAAATGATTAGATATGTGTAAAATACTCATGTATATGTAATATATCTATGTAAAAACATGTTATGCGATTAAATATAGTGTGACGTAGTCGTCGGAACCTGTTTGGTCTCTACATAAAAACCTATTTTGGCAGAGGAAAGGCGTAATATGTGATGACAAAATATTGTATCAGGAATTTTACTTCGACGTCATTCCTAAGAATATATTATATGACGTACAGTATAGGAAATCAATTGAAATGTTATCGATATATCAGTTTTTACTTTAGCTTAGTTAGATGGGTATTTATTAAATTATTGATTTTTTTTTTACACTTTGTTTCACAAAGTTCATCTTTTTTTTTGAGAATTTTCACGACAAATTTCATTAAGTTCAGTCCTGGATAGGCAACAAACAACCAGAATTTCTTATTTATAATATAACGTAACACGTTATATATAATATAACACGCATTACTTAGTTCAGATCAATCACGGATAGATGGTTACTGCCAGATACCTAGTACAGCCACCAGTCATCAATAAATTTATATTTGTCATTAATTTTATACGCTCAAAATGGCTCTGTTGTACTTAAGTCCTATCAAGGCTTATAAATAAATATTAGTAAAGCTACAATTTTGCTATATTATGAATGTTATAAGTATTTACTACAGCTCTCTTTGATATGGAGGCATACCTACTGAGAAACATACACCTGCATTTCCATCCGGAGATTTTAATTGTGATGACACATCGTTTGTAGCTTGTTGATTATTTATAAGAAGTTATTTATAAGAAGATGCACGGGTAAGACAAAGCTAAGGACCTTCGAGCATTGCCAAGGGCATGTCATACAGACCTTTTACTGTGCTGAGATTGTATATTATGATAATTAATTATGTTTCCGCAATTTGTGGCTAACTTGTAACGGCATGGCTGTATTGTAGGGAAAACACTGCCAATACGGTTGTATGGTGAATCAAAAGTATTGTTAAGGAATATTCAACCATGTTCATTAAAATACAATGGAAATGTTTTGAGAATGGAAAATATTTAATATTCTTGCATTTTTTGAGAGTGAGAATGATTTTGTAACAGAAAATATGAATACCTTAGGTAGGTATTTATATTTTCTCTAACAAATCATATAAAGAAAATTGTCGCATACCAGCCCATAAATCGATATACCAATAACACATACGACAGAATAGTATTAATTAAAATGAAGTTACACTTTCAACTAAATGAGAAGAAACCCCTGCTTATTTCATTCTCATCTCTTGAATGAAATCAGAAGGGATATAATATATTATTTTTATAATTATTATTAAAATGTTAATAGTATAAACGGTTAACATGATTGTGCTAGAAAATTCTCAAAGTACTTATTTAATTACGTACGTACTTAAATATGAGTAAATACATTTAGGTTATCGAATGGAAAATAATACTTATACAGAAATTAATTTATAACTTTTCAGAATCATTTGTTTCAAATAGTGCAGTAGGTAAATTGACATAATAAAAATATTTTAATAATTGAATGTAGACATAATAAAAATAATAATATAATCGAGAAAAGCTTCACTGTTTTCAACAAATAGTAGAAAATTTTGTTTATAATCTGTTAGAAATAGCTTGCCATATACAAAGACTTACTATTTTACGTATTAAATTTTATATTTTATGTAATTGTAAAGGCAGACGAGCAGACGGCCCACCTGATGGTAACTGATAACGGCCACCTACATACATACACAGCACTACCTATAGCTCATCATCATGGAACACCCGTGATACTGTTCAAGCGGAGCCCTTCCATAAGAGTAAGATGTCATTCCTAAATTGTCTTGTAATTTCACTGCGTTCAACCGAAACGAATCTTACAAAGCATCCTACTGGCCGGCTGAAGTATGGAGTCGAAAGTACCCACACAGACGATTTATGTCTATATATAATTAAAACGTAATAAATAAACAATCGATTTATTATCGCTGGATCATAGCCAGGCTGAGGATGCAATAGGCAGAAATCCAGCGCTTCCTAGTACACTGACTGCATTAAATTTACATAAAGTCTTATTGAATATATCCAGAAGTTTTCTCACTGGGCCATGTGAACTGTTCCTTTCTATAATGTAGGTACTTACTTGGCGCCTGTCCGTTCCACGAATCTCGGCGTCAACGACACGCACATGCAGAGCAAATTTAAATACCTACCTCCGTCAAAGTCCAAACTAAGTTAAATACATAGAAATATAAATCATTAAATCCTAAGATGTCCATTTACAACACTTACGGTAAACAACTCTATATTTTTTAATACAAAGTAATACAATTATATTTATGATAATGTAGGAATTTAAAATTCGTTGTTTGGTTTATCTATTACAAACATAAAATTCAAACATTTGATATTTATTTTATTACAGTAATACGAAACCAACAAAAAAGGAAAAAAAAGTAATAAATAAAATTAGACTTATTAAATCACTTAGGAATATTACTCTATACAAGAATATACTCGCAACAATAACAGCCTCCAGCCAGTGTTATTTTACTCCCATATGTAACTCGTCTTTTATATGTTATTATGCGATATCTTTTTCATCACTAAACAAATGTTAATATAATGGAAATGGTTCGAAAAGGAAACTTCCATCCATTCTACTACAATTGAACTAAATTATGAAGCTGTGCCTGCGGCAAGCCGCATGACATTTATAGCCTATATGTTATTTTTCATCCAAATCCGTTCAGTAGCTTCTGTGTGAAAAGGTAACAAACATCTATCCATACTCATAAACTTTCGTGTTTTTAATATTAACATTTTTTCAACAAAATTGGTCCTAGTGTCAACAGGATGTAATAAATTGATCGAGATTTGTAGGTACCGAAAATGTTAATATTTGGTTATTTACAACGAAGCACGGCTTAGAATGTCAATTAGAACTAATTAAGTGTCTACTTAAATTTTCAATGTTATACACGAATTGTTCGCGGTTGGTAGAATGATCACAAATAGGAAGCGATCGTGGGTATGTGCAGGACATTGGTCAGTAGTTGTGTATAACTATAAATACAGTGCGTCTCGTATGGCGAGCTAATTCCGCGCGCCCGCGCTGAATCGCTAAATAATCAATAGCGGCTCGGTCGCATCTGTATTCTGTTTGCACCCGTTGTCCGGCCTGTAGCAAAACGCTAAAAATACAATATCCCTCATACAAGGGCATCTCATGGCCAACATGACCTTACCTGAATCTCATAAACCGACAATTAAAATGTTTGTTCCTGCATGATAAAGTCGATATCGCTTATGTATCATCCTAAGCTAGGTGTGGTTAGTGACCAAACAAACGAATTATCAGATTTATTATTCATTTATTTTAATATTTTATTATGGTTTTTAGTACTATTTCATTATATTTGTAAAGCATAATAATTAGGCACCTTAGCATTTTATTAGGAAGACATGCTTTTGTAGTTTCTTTAAACTGAACGTTACCACACCCAAATTACCTCGACTCTACTATTAACATTGAATAAATAAAAGACTAATACTGTATTACAACAAACTACTTATAATATTATATATACACATATTTATAATAAAAAAAAACTAATCAAATTACAAATTAAAAACAAAAAACTTCTGAATTTGACCATTTTTTGTGTAATTTAACATAATATCTGTAATAATTGTGTGAAGCCTACAACTTTTCATTACTAACATACAAACAACCGAGCAATTCTAAACTGAAAATTATTTTTTGACAGATATTAATATATACGTTGTTAACATTTAATTTGTCTAAGACCGTTTATGTCAATGAAACCTCTTTGAAATACGTCTAAGTCTGAATTACTGCGGATGCGTTCGGCGAGAGCTTTCTCCTGGGCCAGAGGATGCCAGGCTCCAAGGGTACAGGCAGTGTCGTCACGGGCGATGTGGTAGTGGCAGCGGCGAGTAGCCCTCACCGAGGGTACATATTCGAACACTCGTACATGAGCACACCGATGTAGAGCAAACCATACTCCTGAACACAAAAAAAAACAAATTATATTAGTTTCCATTCTACGTAGTGGCTGAAGAAAAGTCAATGTGATATCATTCCGCTTAATCCCCAAAAAATATGTCATAATATTAAACGAACAGTCAATAATTACACTGTCTTAAACTTGACTCCTCTCTTCCACATAGTCTGTAAGAAATTACTTATAGTGATAAGATCGCCTTTTTTTTTACTTTCTTAGATACTGTTTTTCTTGTTGTATTTTTTTGCCACAATTATTTAATTGGAATAGGAAGTAAGCTAGCCCATCTGATGGTAAGTGGTAACCGATTACTGTATATTGAATAGTACGCCCGTACACCTCAAGAGTTGCCATTCCGGAAGACTATGTCATCTTTAATTTGACAATATTCTCTAATCCTTCTACCGAAACATATCTTACAAAGTAAACTGACTAGCGGTTGATATAAAAAAAAACATCGGTTCAACGGCCACACCGTTGAACCGATGTTTTTAGGAAATAAAATTGCAATTTATCACCTTGCCTTTTCATCACCAGGATGTCATAATAATATCACAATAGTATATTAGACTAGTAAACACAGCTCAAAAAATACAAAAGCGAAACTGAAAATAAAATCTTATGATTAAAGCTAACTTGTTCTTTGAATAAAATTATTTATTGTTTGTACCTCAATTAATTACTGAGTTATCATATAACAGGTATTATTATAGGTACGAAAACAATATTATTTAATTATACTCATGTTTAATTAAATACACATATGTTATACTATAATTGTAACAAACGAGGGAATATAGGCCTTTTAGATTAAACTAATTATCATACGTGAATGGCACACATGCTATACCTATTATTATTAAAGCATTTGTTCCTCTATTAAAGACTGGCGAGCGATGATATGAAAACGAAGGATTTACTATTTTGTATTTATTTTCACACTACACTGTTTACAATAAATACGTAATGATTCCATTGACATTATAAAATTAAAACCCGCTACTCTCATTCTAAAGACTTATTTATTCTACATTTATTATTCTTTGATTCTATTATTATTTTGTAATTTTCATATTTAATTTATTATAGACATGTTGTATACCAAGATTTGTACGTGCATAGAATAAGGCCTGTTACTGGCTGATATTGATCTCAGTATCATTTGAGTTTGTTTATTAGATACACAGAAATAAATCTGAAATATATCGTCTTCATAATATTCTATAGTAATAGTACTACTACTACTATTAGCGCCAGTAGTAGTATCGGCTGTGTACAGTTAATTATTTAACAACTTTCTTATTCAATATAGAATTACCAACTAAAGTATAACTACTAATATATTTTTATTATAATTGACCCTGTAATATAATCACATTGTAGGTATTAAACAAAATTTTGAGGAAATCATTTTGTCATCCTATAAACCAATTACGAGAATCTCTTGAACTTTCCTTTTGAACTTGAATTGGACATGGAAACAAATTTTTGATTAAGTAATAATATATTAGCAAAAAATAATGCTAAATAGAACCTTCGAAGAAGAAAGGAAGGGATTGTTAGTAATGTAGACTAATAAGTCCATTGCTAGCAATACCATGTTAGACTACCACGCCACCACCACAAATTTCTGGTGAATTTAGCACTATGGACTATGTTCCCTGCGAGCGCATACTGTCAGTGGGAGCGGATATACTATACCATTATCATTCTTTACAAAATAGTACCTAGGGTACTAAGCGGTACTAAAATGTAAAGATTTTGAAGATGTTCACATATTTATAATGTTGTTAATCAATCACTTTACCTGTACAATAACGTCTATAATTTTAATATGTTCATGGACAACAAACAACAACAATAACAAACACTAATCTGACCGACGACACGCTCGGTGCCTAAAATGTTCATATATCACATGATATATGGGAAATGTGGGTATTGCAAGCAAATGTTTCATACACCATAAGATCGGCAGTTGTCGTACATAGTTACGTCCTCTTGACTATTCTATTTAGCGTATATATTAGATAGATTTTTTTTAGAGTATAGATAGATAATTTATACATAAGATACTTTAGGCCTTAGACAATTCGCATAGAGTCATCTCAATCTCAAGCTAAGCAGACCTTATGTTTTAAGTCCTAGACATCTTAATAGGAATACTTCAATACTACTCTAAATACATATATAATATAAATGAGACATGCCCAGACCAATACAACCCTTCATATTTATGACTACAAATGTATTAACTCGCTAACATCGGATGTAAAGCGGTGTGAACCACTCAGAAGGTCAATTATTCACATGAACAATACTTCTTTGTTGGTAGGTATTTATAGATAAAATTATACCTTAGAACTACATTTAAATCATTATACTTAGACATACGCTATAAAACCTCATGTGGTCGATATACCTATAAATCCTGATGACGGAGGATTTCTCCGTAAGCGATATTGTGAAGAATCTTGCAGGACCGCCCAGAGATCCCACAATACTTCCGGTCTGAGTAAATGAACATCTGCACCGGGCCGTAGCTCGAGTAATCTGCAATTCCAATTAAAGATATATCTACATATACCTACACATCCCTCATACCACGAATGCATGCAAATGAAATGCAACATACAATAATAAATAGAAAACCGCTGATACAAATACACATAAATTCCAATATTTTTATTACGTGAAGCACAACTATCGTTGTCATGTAGTAAACATAACCTATAAATTGACGAGGATGTCGTATTACAATGAATATTTGTTCCGGATACAAGGTTTACATACTACACTTAACACCTCAGAAATATATGGATAAAAATAATAATACTTAATAACCCAGGAAAATTCACAAATTGCTATCTAATCCCAAACTAAGCAAAGCTTTTAGTTAGAAGATATGGGTACTAGACTACTTATATAAAAACTTTAATATTTTTTGTAAATACATAAATAATATACATAGAAAACACCCATGCCAATGAATATAATTATACTTATAAATTGTAAAGTGGGAAGAATCGAAACCGCGACTCTCGAAATTAAGGTAATACTTATGTTAAACCGCTAGTTCGTCGAGACTATGTAATAGGTATACTCGTATATGGATGTAGTATATAAAAAGGAATCATATGACTAATGATAATAACTTATGACATCATAACGGAACTTTGTTCAAATATTTTTAATATTTCATCCTGTGCCAGAATACAGACGGCATCGTAATTGACCAGTAATTTATTTATAACTAGCTGGACCCGCGACTTCGTCAGCGTGGAATATAACTTTATTTTTTTTAAATAAAAGAATTTTTTTAAAAATAAAAGTAGCCTAAACTACTTTCTATTACATCAGCTACCTGCCAAAAAAGTGTCCCGTTAAAATCGGTCCAGCCATTTCAGAGATTAACCGGAACAAACAGACCGACAAACAGACAGTCAAAAATTTTAAAAAGTGGTTTGTTGATGTATGTACCGTATTTATATTCATATTCATGTAGTAAAAAACGGTTATTTCAATATTACAAACAGACACTCAAATTTTATTTATATGTATAGATTAATATTTTTCCTAAATTTTAACAAGAGCAGTTTCACTTTTAGAAATTTTTCAATATAGTCAGGAAAAATTTTAAAAATCAAACAACTCATTTAGGTACCTAACTTCTTACGCATTAACTCGTGGAACAGAGGAAGTTACTAATTTAAATTACAGCAATCGACTAATTGTTCATTTAAATATATTAAATGTACATGCCTATTTATGATAGCAAATATACAAGTTTAGAATATTCTCGCATTGATTCATATAGCGGTTGGTTTAAAATTAGAATTACGGAACAAAAAAATCAAAAACTATTAATTCATACCTCCATTGTGATACATTCATGTTTGATGAATGTACCGGACCGGAAATATGGACATGAAATCTATCAAATACGGTGGTGATATATAAAAATGTTCTTTAAATTAATAGCATTACGGTGATGCTACTGATTGCAATACAATACACCGGATACAATAGATAGAAATACTTCATCTTAGCCTAGTGTTTAAATTCCTTAGAGTTACGAGACATATAAAATTGAACCACTGTCTAACTTACAATATCAAAATTACTAAAGCTGCGTGGGTTAGCTTCATAAACATCACATTTTCTTCGTTTTTGCAACAGTTTTCATTCAAATTACGCTGTTATTTGTGTAATAGCGTAATGTTATATAACCTAGTCTTGCTCAATAAATTGACTATTCAACAGTAAAATAATTTTAATACAAGATCTCTAGTACCGAGAATTTAACCGAACATCAACACAACAACTCAGAAACTTTAGCTCTTACTTATATTTACCTACTTATATTAATATGAATTATTTAAAATTAAAAATGTTTGGAGTTATCTACAACATAATGTTACGGGAACAACATTTACCTAATATTATTCAACATTGTACCAAGTGCTGCTATTCCGGGAACTATATCATGTCTCCAATTGCCATACAATTTCATTGCTAATAACAATTATCAATTATAACAATTATCAGCAATGAAATTGTATGGCAATTGGAGACATGATATAGTCCCCCGGAATAGCAACATACGCTGTTAATATTCATTGGTGACGGTTACCGCTGGTCTTCAAGTTGGCCATAAACATATTTCCAATTCCAGTATATATGTAAATAATAAAAATATAAACTACAAATTCAAAGCATACAATAGTAGAGTACTACTAATACTACAATATATGTCTAATTACCGTTTATATACAGGGAATAGTGGAAAATCAGGATGACTGTACCACTCTTCTAATGTTGACGAATAATTCGCAGGGTCCCATATAAGTACAGAAACATCTTTATACAGCGGGTCCTCTAAAAACTTGAATTGTTGCTTCGTAACGATCTGAAAATAAATTTGGATCTACATATCTATGTACACTTTCATCATGAACACAAATAATGAAAATAATGGTAGTCACCTGATGGTAACGGGTGACCTCCGCTTATGTATAGCTACAACCATCACATTATCATGTGATATCCACACTAACACACATGATAACTAAGATATCATACCGCAAGAAATAATTTTACATTTTATAAATTTGAAAATTATTCATTACGTAAATTTTCCGCTGTTCAATTTTGTGTAATGTGTTTTTTTTTAAGACATGACCAAATGTGATTATAGCTATTTCAGTTTTCTGTAAGTTCTCGAATTATTAAACTCTTCGTTTAAGTAAATAATAATATGTATGTGATTTAAGCACAATCCGTTAAGTATGGTTTGCTTAACCAACAATCAAAATTGCCACAGGCTGCGCAAAGGTCGTCAAGAATAAGTTTTTGAGAACGTAAAATACAGGCTACAACATATGTATAACAAGTCGATAGTAAATTAATTTTTAAAGTCACCTGTGAATTAAGTATCCTGTATGTGGTTTTGGCACCGACATCCTCGGTAAAATTTATTGTAGGCGCGTTATTGAACCTCAACACCATATCGTGTGAATCTGAAACAGACATGTCATACCTGTTTATATAAATATATATATGTGGATTAAAAAACACACCTTTTTAAAAGATATATAGTATAATAGTGTAATATCATAATATAAATCTCAAAATATATATGCTCACATTTATATAAATTTATATACATTATATTGTTTGTAGGGAGGTGTATTTAATCCATTCTTGCACGTGTTCATGTTCATACATATTGTAAATATGTTTATCAAATTTGATACATAATTATTAATATAGGTCTTTAGTACCTCGCAATAATGGTAATTATCTGTAACGTATAGTAACTTTAAATAATATTTGTATCAAAAATATCTATGAACTATATAATAATAGCCGTGATCTATAATAAAAAACACCTATTGTCATAATTGTTGTAATCCGAAAACGCCCTTGAATTCATTTAATATACTTTCAGTCCGTTGCATTATTTCTTTATTATTTTGTTCGCATAAAATATAAATTAGCTAACTACTCTTATAAAAACTTTGTCTAAAGGGCGCTAACTAAATGATTTTCGGTATCGGTTTTAAGAAGAATTAAGATAAATTAATTTTTACCGACACAAAGTACAACACTAACATCTTTACGTACTTACAAACTATCTTATTTTATCTTATCTTGTCTAGTTTTAATAACATTCGCGGAATATATCTAGATTCCGGGAATGATATTAAAACTAGGCTACCTAAATAAAATTACAAAATACATTCTACGATTCGATCTTTGATGTTTTTTTTATTATTATTGTTGTTCTGAGACAAATAACGTGTTAATAATATATTTGTTTATTCTTTCACAACGTCGTTTAACATAGTTTAATATAAATAAATATGAATGAATAAAATACTATAAAGTAATGCGTAGACCGGTTTTTACCTATTGACTGTCGTATGTAAGAAAGCGGAACAATGGGTGTAAATAACATTTATTCTTTTTCTTATCTATAAGAGTCGATAATTAGTGCTCATTCTTGATACTACTAACTATTTTTATTACAATCATGACTATATTGACCTATGCTTGTCATACGAGTGCAACAAGGCGAAATGTTGTGGAAAATTATAAAATTGTTAAGGAAATTCACTATAATAAAATCCTGCACGAATTTCATTTAATAACATGTTGCACAACTCACACATGTCACACTTTCAACTTGTTGTATGTAGGTCTTTGGTAGTAGTGTTGGGGTTATTTTATTTTACAAACTATAATATATATATATTTTAAGTGAAAGTTTGCACATAATATTGACATTGCTTTTTTTATTAGATTGCACTGAAATACATAGATGAGTATGAAGTATGTTGCACGGATAGATTAACATGGATATGTTACTTATTTGAAACTGCTGTACCTATTTGGTTTTACTCGATTTTACACAAATAGCGGCAAGAACTACAACTAGTAAATAACAATGTTTGTTGTTTTTTTCTGCCTAGTGTCGTAATGTCATGTATTGTATAAGGATAGTGCGTCGAATAAGTACACTAATGGATATAATTGTGATAACTACGCTGTCCAAACAAGTGATGCTGTAGATAAAAGCTAGGATAATAAAACTGTTCAATAATTTATGTGATTCATAAACGTGGCCGCAGACCTGTCCTATTGTTTATAAAAAAAACCTACATACTGAGTGTTGCGACATCTCGCTACTACAACATATAATTTATTTACCATACAACAATTAGCTCGCTATTAACATCAAGAAAAAGTTCATTCATTATAGAATGGCAATTAAACTGTAGTAACTTTATATACCTATGTACATCTAACCTTTTGCCACATTGTTATCGAGATTAAATAAAGACTGATAGAAATACTATATCGTAAAAAATATAAAATAATTAATTAATGTATAAATATAAAATTAAACAATAACTACAATCGATATGAAGGAGAGCTTAAGTACCTAAGTTAAAAAAGTACGTGTGATATGCCATTAATGAAATCATTTGTCCTAATATATTGAAGTGCCTGCTAAATTAATATAATATAAATACAATAAAACCTTAAAAATTGCCTTTCATTTATTCATCTATATTACTGTACATGAGTAGATAGATAAGAATAAAATATACCTAATGAGCCAGCTGAGAGATTAAATTTGTTTAGTTACTATAATTGCATACCTATCAATTATATGTAGTGCAGCAACTAGTACAGTATCAGTATTAGATGTAGGTATACAGTATTAATTTATGTAATTCATGTCATACAAATATTAATCTTTAAACCTAACTATAAAACGTTCGTATATAGATAGCAGCTAAACATCTATGCTTGTGCACAAACTAACTAAAAAATTATAGGTAAAGTTTTTAGAAATTATTATCCTCTACAAAATATAAACCACTTGTTAACAAAAACGACAGCAATAAAAATAGCTTCAGTTGTTTAGGAGTAAAAAGATTCAAATAGACTTTTACTTCTAAATAATGTATACCTAGTAGTATTGTAGGATGTATAATTCATTAAAATGGTTTACTGTCTGGATTAATAAGTGGAACGGCGTCACTGTAACTGGCGAGGCACCTGTGGAGGAAGGTGGTATAAGAATGAGGTCAAGTCAGTCAGCCAATCGTGGCAAATTCATCACCACTAATTTATCACGACTGTTTACCCCGTGGAGGTCAACCTTATCAGGAGTTAGTATGTTGAGCTAACGTTGATGTGGACTTCGTTTTAGGATGAGCTGAGCTCTGTTATGCGCTACAGTTTGCGCAACCATCCAGAAATCGGATGGTCGTGTGCCGTCATATCATTCGCCAGTGTATAAATTGTAATGTATGAAGCTGTGGAAGCCTTCGTCCCTCCAACTTGTCGCAGCCACACCCATTAACTAAGGACGATGTTCTATATCTGGATGAATGTCAAATAAAAATACGTTCAGGTCACGAAAAAAAAACACCTTTCCACCTGTTATAAATTACTTACAAGATTATTATAATATCAATATAATGTATAATTCTAAATGGATTTCTACTAATAATAGTAGTAGAAATATGTCCGAGATAAAAGTGGTAAGTTCTGGTGACTTGGGTACCTACTATTTATTACACTCAGACGACACCGTTCGTAGGATTCGGCACACAATGGTGTTCGCGATGAATTATGCAGACCCTTTGCCTGGGTTAATGACACTCGCGAGGCACATCGTACACAATACGCCACTAAATTACTACACCTCTTTTCTAATTAACTATAATCACAATATAATAACATAAAAGGATGATCAAAATTCTTAAGACTCAGAAAGCTAAAGTAAAGTCAGTCAAGAGTACCGATTCTGTTCATAATCTGTATATTATCAGGGTATAACAATAGAATCTCGAATTCTAACTATATAATTTTATAATAGGAACGAAGATAAGTTTGTTTTTTAACATTTGGAATAGTTACAGGACATAAGCAATGTGATATCTCTCCCAATTATATTTAAGTCACGGGCGGAAACTTGTATAGAAATAAATAAATAAATAAACCTTCCTGTCATGTACAACTTTAGAGCATTTGTAAATATCGCTTAAGTATTTGTATGTACCTAACAGTGAAACTAAGAAACGGATCTTCCCATAGTTAACCATTATGTATAGTATTGGAGATGGGGATTTTAGTGCACTAGTTAATCAATCTGAGTCCCACAAAGGTGTTTTCCCCATTTCATTAACAAATTTTGTTCCTCAAAAATACCTATTGAAATTTATTAAATTTAATATTTAATCACCACAGAAATACATACTGACTGTAAAAGAACCATTTCTTTGCATACATATAGGCTCATAATGTGGAGAAGATATCACCCATCTTAATACACAAAAAATATTAACGCGAAAAGTAGAAATTCTTACTTTTTAAATATTATATGTCGGGTAGTACTGAAGCACGACCTGTGTTGGCACAAACGAACTTGCAGCACACCTGATAATAAATGACTATCGCCGACCATGAGCACCAGCACCCAATTCCTCTGAGAATCGCAGATGCGTCGCCATTATCAAGGAATAACGTCTGTGCTTAAAAATGTAATATCGTATCCGCTTGGAAATACCATTGCTGGAAAGTGATTCCACAATGTCGTTGTTCATAGCAAAAAAATTCTGAATAAACGCACAGGGGATGGCCGTAAATCATACATTAAATATGTATAGAAAAAGTGGAAAAGCTGAATATTTTAAAATAATGTAGATAATTGATTCGAATTCATGTCGATGTCTTATGCCCATTTAGAGCCTTTTGTATTTGGATTAATAGCCCTCATAGTTTTTTATCGACAGGGGTAGACAGATGTTTTGTTGCAGATTAAGTATGTGCCTTATGTATAATAATCTTTATCATCGAAATGAGGTGCTTAAATTAATTGTGAGTAGCTAGCTAATAATTGTGAGTAGCTTTGACGTGGTCTAGTGTTTTGAGTAGTCATGCTCACTAAAATGTCCAGACTTGTGGCGGCGTGGTGGGCCGGGTCATTGGGCTCCCTAAAATATGGTCGAGCGCAGTGATGGCTGGCTCATCCGTCATACTCGTGAACGGGTGCTGCTTGTAGGGACTGGTCTGCTCTAATCACTATGACTGATTTCCTCTTATTAATTGTTTAACCAGTTGGTTATGTATTCAATATTTTTTTCTTTTTGAGTATTTAATTGAATTAGTGCTAATTGGTGGTTTGTATTCACACACTTAAACTTAAAAATGTAAAGTAATAATAAAATTATTTAAAAGAGCAACACGCAAGTTTCTTGCTCGTTCTTCTTGTGATGAGACAGCTTTCCGAACGAGCGGTAGATTAAAAAAAATGTAATGACTATTCAAAAGTGCTTCAATGTAAGTTTATTTGAATAAATGATTTTCTATTCTATTCTATTCTATTCTATTCTAATTGTTCGTTATGACACGTCCACTATAAAATATGCAAGGTTTTTGATAATTATTAACAATAACTTTGGAATAAGTTCGAAATATTATGACCTTGATTAAAAAAATATAAGATTGATCGAAGGCATCGACCTATTATGTCGATGACCGATCAGATCAGTGGCGATGCATGATTAGGATAATAATTTTGTTTTCATACTTATGACGTTTTTATACGTTTTAATAAAAATCTGGTTAAACAAAATAAATAAGTAAATAGTATTTAAATAGTTACACTTTCTAAATTGAGTAATAAAAATCGCAAGTATTGAAATCTATGTTCTCTAAATGTTTATATAATAAATATCGTACGTACAGATATAATAATCACGTTACACAAGATTAGGCAAATACCTACCTATATTTATTAATTCTACCAAGATGGAATATTATATCTGTAAATTTAGAAATGAAACTTTTGTAGTTTCTCCGTTACATTTTGTACTTATCATTTCGGAGTGGGTTAAAATATAACACAACCAACAACCGATTAACAAATGTATTATTACTACATGTAACTACAGCTACAGTATAGCTATAGCTAACTGGTCCCAAACTCATTATGTTCACCCTAAAATACAATGTTCTTCAAATAAATATAAACGTTTACTAATATTTTTTAAACCATTTAATTCTCATTAAACATCAAATAATATACCTTCTTACAAACAAAAAGCCATTTAGAAGCTAGATTGACGTCAAATCTCGATAAAGATGATGGAGCACATCGATTAAATGTAAAAGGTTGCCTATACAGTAGTATGCCGGTACGTATAACAATATCATCTGTCGGTAATACTGAGTCATCAATAATCATAATGAAGAACTCACAATGTTTGACTGTTTGCAATATAGTTAGTCCTACCTACACTGACCACATATCTATGTAACTACATGCAATTTGTCAAGTAACACAAATACTATAACAGCAAACCGCAAGAAAGCCGCAATCTCTTTTTTATGCAATTACGAGAAATGCTGTCCACTATTGTTCAGTTCATTGACGCAGAAATGTTCAAGGGAACGCCGTAGGTTCTTAACATGTGTCACGTCTGTTCCACGATTGGGCTATAAACTCTTTAAGGTTTTCAAGAAAGGACAAAGACCGTCCTGCGGTCATTGAATGACTAATGCAAATATTGTGATTTGTTTGAATAAATGATTCAGTTTTGATGCGACTTTTACCTTGTTCCGATATATAGTTGCCCATTGTTATTAACTTATTATAATAATAAGAGATACGGCACTATATAATAATTACAGTGAATTAATAACAAATTCAAAACAGAATGCTTAGTTACATTATGAGTCTCTAATATGGGTCTGATTTACCTGAGACCGCAGATACCTACTATAAAAAGAATTCCAGACATAAATAGTTTCTTGCTATATTCCTACCTACCTCGAATTCACTTTCCGCTAACTGTTTAAAATTCAATTCATGTAGATAATAACAGAATAAAATATTGTTTGTATACATATGTACGGAGCAGTCAGTAAAATCCCTGGTGACACTAATAGTTTCGTGCAAGTCACCTATGATTTAGGCACTTCGACGAAAAGGGTGGGTAGTGAATATCAATGCATGTACGAATACAAAGCAAAGATCCGAAACGATAACTCGGTTATACTGGGTTGATCACTCATTGCAGTTTATACCTAACCACAATGTAGTTGTTAGTTACTAGTATGTAGTAGGTACTAGTTATACACGCGACTTCGTCTGCAAATAAACTATAGCGTTACCAGAGATGGACTGTAAAAAGTCATCCGCATGGATGCCTGTCCCAAAAGCGGTCGAAAAAATCATTTCAGCCTCCAAGCAGCTCGGTTTGTAAGCAGTGTTTACTCTATATTTATTGTTCACCCTTTTCGTTAGGTCGGTTTGTTGTATTAGTAATGTTCAGCTTTTTACTGTATTATTACATTGTTGTATGCGCCCTGAATTTGCAAATAATAATTTATCAATCTGTATTTCCGTTGTAGGATTCAGATTAGGCAGTGAAATTACAAGATAAAAGGCATGACATCTTAGTCCTTTGGATTGGTTGCCAGCATGAGTGGTATTGCGGGTATCAGATGATACCGTGATGTAAGTAATGTGAATATTATGCATATAGGGGACAGTTACAGCTTATTATTATCAATTACATAAAATAAATTGTTCGTCTTTAAGTTAAAAATATATCTTCCTAACAAACTTTAATATTCATTTAGTCGATAAATTGTGAAAAGGAAATAGACAGACAGACAAGCCCTATCGCTTGTAATAGCAGTATGGATAAATAATATAACTGTTATCTCAGATAGGGTTTCCAAAGACATTGTTAAATGTCTACGTTGCTTCATGACGAAAACAACAATTGACAACGTTTGAATTCAACGTCATAGGGTTACGATTACTGCAGAATCTCAGATTAATTAGGTTTGTTATCGATGTTTAGATCAAGAGAGACTCATTATTATTACTAGCCCACAACGTCTGCTATTATTATCAATGTACCCTATTATGTATAATGTCTCCATACTGTCCAGAATTGACTAAATTTGACACGATATTAAGTACTTAATAACCAAGTACCTACTTATGTAAGTTTTATAAACTTCACATGTAAAGGTATGAGTATACTCCCTTTAAAAAAAAAATGAAGCATTTATGCACGACAAGACGATGACGACAAATACACTTTCATTATTACAAAAGATATATATATGATGTTCCCATTACGGGTTATTGCTCTACGTTACAAAAATAAATAAGTATAGGTACTTATAGTAGAGCTTAGTAAAGCACATCGAGGACGATAACTGTACACAGTATTGTATTAGCCAAAGACAAGCAGGTAACTACGCATTTAGGTGAACACCTCATATCAACAGCCAACTCATGTGCATTATGATTCATCAATTAGCATTTACTGTGAAAATATTATTATAATTATTAGGGTTACTAAAAACGACATGAGTTGAGTTGAACGATATGTGTACTTGTTATCATGTTTCGAGTGGTAAGTCGACGTCTCTCGTTCTCATCCCTTTTACAACCAACTCCTTTAGTCCTACGGAATGGCAGTGCATGAGGGATATTGATTATTATTATTATTAGGGGTATTACATGGCGACGATATCCAGGAACATGTTCATGTCACCAACTGAAGCGCAGATTGCCTCTTATCATATGTTTTTCATTTCAATTACATAAATATGTATTTATTGATTACCTTATTAATAAGACGGATTTAGTTACCTATAAATTCTCCTAAACGTGATCCCAACAATGCTCCGGCACTGGTAACTACCGCGCACGTGTTAAAGGCGCGATCCTGATGTAATGGATTCTTAGGTATGCGAAAGCCGAGACTCGCGAAAGGTTCATCTTGGGCTGTCACTGTCCTTACTTCCACACCTTTAAGAGAACATAACACTTCCTGCCTGCTCTTTTCTCTTCGCTCGCCACCTATATATTTCACATTATAAGGATTCTGAGAGTCTAAACCAGATTTAAAAACTTTGCTATCACTCATTAACACCCTGTGAAATTCCTTAAGCAGTAACTCTTTATACTCAGCCGTCTGTGCTTCACAATCCTGCGTCATGTAATCATCACAAACGTATTTGTCACTGTCAAACTCCAATATCGGTTTATGTATATTTGGAAATCGCGGTCTTCCTTGACTCTTCCTGATTATATGAGTAGATGGACGGACTAAAGATCCGGAAGGCTTGTTGGACCCTTGAGTCAAAGAGCCGCTACTCCAAACAGCGCCAACAGCTGACCTCCTGTTTTTTCGTACTGAATCAATTTGCAATGTTGTGTGATTAGATGCCACCTTCAAATTAAAATTATCCAAATACGTATTCTGGTACTTTAACGTGGTTTTTTGCGAATTCCCCGGTATTTTGTTAAACAGTCTTTGTTTCTCTATATACATCCAGTATTGTGACCAGATAAGATACAAGTAACCACACATACCGAAGCAAAGAAGGTTAATGAAAACCCAAACCGACATTGCTGCTGCTTTCATTTTTGAAAAGGTAAAATCACTGTGTACGTATTCGTTGATTCCTAATTATAAAAATTACTCAATACAACAATATAAAATCACAACCACAGTCTATGTTACACAAAGCTTTCTCGAATTAGAGGGAGGAGAGCAGTCAGCTGATGGTTAGGGCTGATCTGCGCCTGCGTAAATCTTATTGCAGATACGCCAATATACGTAACTAAATTCATATAAATAAAGTATGTTCCTCTTCATAGGAGCTGGGAATTTGTGCCTTATATTTTGAATAACAATTCTCAAAGGGTTTAAACTGTTATAGATAAATTGTCAATAGACAATCACTGTAAGTTACAATTCGACCGATAATATAACTTGGTCTATTAAAAGAAAATGTTTTAATGGCAACGAAGTTAAAATGCGTCTAGCCACCCACTGCAAAATATCATAATTTATCATTTTCCTTATTATAAATGCGGGTGTATGTTTTGTGTAAAATTAAAAAAATATATTTTACGAAAGTCAATGCCCAGAAGTTTGGGAAATAGAACGAAACAGGGTATTTATGTTTACAATTTATATGTGTTGCATGTATACATAAACAAAAATTAAAATTAGCATTAAAAACGACTTTTAAGTAAAGCCTATTCAAAATGGCTTCCAATATGACGAATATATTAATGAACATACCTACATAAAAATCATACATAGAATCGAACATAGAACATACTCCTTTTTTATGACATTGAATAATGACAGCTCTGCTGTTTCATGGCATAAATAAAACATGGAGGTTTGCCTTTCTCTAAAAAGGCGTAAACCGAACCAAAAAAAAAATGGTTACATAAAAAATGCCATCAAGTATACAAGCACTGCGGTAGTACAATAGTTCAGGTGGTAAGTAATTGGTACAATAAATAATTATATTTCCAAAAAAGGTTTATTGAGAAACATACTTTTAAAATTAGCATTGGGCAGAATTTGTCATTTATATTAGTACATATATATATATATATATAACTTAATAAATAATGTACATTATATAAAATTATATTTTACATAGAACTATCACAATACTTACTAGAAATATATAAACAAATATTTGCTTTAAAAAGAGCAACTCAGACTTGCTTAGGTACAATAGTTATTTGGTTCATTTGCTTAAACCTAAGTAACGATATGGCTTCCTATATTCGTTTCATTTTCTCTCGTTTTCATAATGAATTATAAAATACTAATATAAATTATTAGGTATAGAAATTTCTTATTATATCTCTAATTTTGACTTTATTGCTATCACTTATATTAAATAATAAAAAATATACACAAATTAACAGGGGTTTATTACATACACTTGAGGTAGTGAGACAAACCAAAAAAATCAACCAAAACATTATTATATTAAATGATCCCGATGAAACAACACAATCTCTTTATTTAATCTTTTCAACTATTCACACTTTGGCTTTAAGAAATTTCTCAATACAAATAAAACAAAACGGATATCTTAAATGTTAATCACGATACTTATTGAAACCATACTTTATATAAAAAAAATAACAATACAAATAATGTATTAATATTTAACTCAGATTAGTCTAAATATCATCCAATATTGATTCCTCCTGCATATACTTAATTATATCATATAGATATGCTCTACCTGTGGCGTTGTTTGCGTAGTCGGACAGGATTAGGGTACTTGGAACGTGGGATTCAGAGGCCTTTTCAAGTGCCACCTATACATCAATCAGCGAAGGTTGTCATTCCATCTTGTGTACGGGGGTGGTTCCGGTATCATTTCGCGGCGAGTCAGTAACGTAGAATAGTGCAGTATTGGTAGCATCGCCCCACCTAATACTAGGACGCCAAATGACGGTTTGTGCATCAACCTGTATTCATATAAATGAGATATTTGTTATAATTAGACTTGATATAATGGGGTTGACATGTTTGGAACGCCTGATATTAAAAAATGTATATATACATATAAATAAGAGTTTTCATATTATTAATATTTGTACTATGTAAAAGGAGTGTACGGATGGCAATTGCGCTAGTCCGATTCACACTAGGTGTTTTAATTCGTAAACAAAAACTAAAATTGAGGCAGGGCCTTGCCTACTACTACGTCATCGCCATATGCCATTTATACTACATGGCGTACGGTAAATATATGTCGTTATAATATCTAACTCGGTACGTTACCTACTCACAACTTTTTTTTAGGTTAGGTACTGAAAAAACGTCACATCAAAACAGTTTCACGTTTCGATTCAAAGAGTACGCATACAAATATATGAAATGAGAGGGAAAGGGATTGTTAATAATGTGAACTAACAACCCCATTGCTAGCAATGTACAATGTCAGGTATACCTACACACAGTTACCTCTGAAAACCATCGTGGTAAATTGCTATTTGCCATTGTGAACTAACTGACCTGACTTCATGCTCATTTTATCATCCTCACTGGTGTCCCGCCTGTGTAAACCAGTAGCACAGGCGGGTGCATCATTCCATTTTCATCTATAATCCAAATACAAAAAAATATATACGAAATGAGGACATGTCAAGTCTTGCGTTCATGACATCGACAATTGATGATGCCTTTGACTATCCCATCCGGGTAACAGTACTTACTTTCGATACATTTATATTATATTTTCTGTGAGATCCAGTGCTTATATTAGTAGGTTAATATATGGCTTTTTTTATATTCTTATAAAGAATATTTGACATATTCTTTTTTAAATAAGAATATGTATATATTAACTTTATACAATATATCGCATCATTTCTATGCAGAACTGATTCATGAACCACAGTTATCCAAAGCTATTATTAGGAATGTTGACCAATTAATACGACGCACCTACGTGTGAAACAATTAGCACATATTTTTAGATTCATTCTAGAACTGGCAAATTCTCAAGTGTTACGATATCTTCAGTAATTCTGAATTCTGTTTCGTAAAACATTCATACTGTAACATAGTGTATTACAATGTGAATCATTACAGAATAATTCACTATTGAACAATTGTTTGCCGATTTTGTATAAATAAATATTAAGATTAAAATAGAGAGAGGTGTTCATATATATAAATATAAATAAATAAAATAAATGAGCTACTGTAAAAAACTTACCAAGGTAGAGATATGATGAACAAGGTATAACAAAATGAAAGAATAAAATTGACCCAAACTCTTGTACATCTTCTTAAATTACTTGATATCCAATGGCACTGAAGAACTGAAAACAAATTATTATCTAAAACAAACTCCTGTGAACTTCTTCGTTCACGGGAGTCTAAAACAAAATTTCCTATATATAGTTTTTACTAAGTAGTAGTTCTCTTGACATTACTTTTCAAAACAATTCTACTGTTGATTAAATACCTCAGCTAAATAAGATTAGGTATAGATCCATACGTAAATACTTTTCGGAGTACATATTATAATAAAATATTTTATGCAATACTAACACAAAGTAATCCAGTCTGGATGAAGCGTCATAGCTGATGCAAACACTTGAACAAATCCCAGCAATCTATATTTCCACGTGTGAATATTCGCATCCCGTTTTTCCAAGTCATGTAATTGTTTAAGGCTGTAGGAACCTTTACGAAGTAGAGAGATGGGATCGGCAGCTGGGAAATTTGCGGGGCTGTATGATTGTAGAATACCGTTTTCAACTATACCAACAGCCGTATACTACAATAACATGAAAAAGATATTGTGCTTTATTAACAGGTACAGATAAATTAAAAAAAAGTGACGGCTTAATAATTTGTTTCAAACAAATTATTAAGCCGTCACTTTTTTTCCTTCATCAAGAAGTTTTTTTTTAAGAAATAGCTAAGAGCCACGTCGTCAAAACATCGATCACGTCTGCTTTTTATAAAGAAAACTGCATGTACTATCTATTTAAGAAATATGATACCACAGACATAGAGATAATCATACTGATAGGTAAGGCTAAATAGAGTTTATGAAGTACTATTCTTTTATTATATTATCTATACAACTTACTATATCATCCTCTCTTCCAGCATATGAAAAATGTATGCGAAGATCACCAATCTCATGCTTTAAAGCACTATCGCCGTGGTAATAAAAGCCTGAGTGCAACTTAATGTCGCTCCTCTCTGGTCTTGAGTCTGACCAAATTTCATAATAATCGTTTACTTTACGCTTTACATCTAAACCTGTAATTTAAAAATGTTTTTCATGGTACCAAAAAAACATATTATATGATGACACTGTCATTCCCAGGATGTCGTAAGAGGTAGATACGTATAATAAAATCATAGTCGATTTGGCAATGTGGCAGTAGTAAACTCGTATCATTTAGAGGGATGTTTTGTACATTACTTTGGTGGTCTGAGTCCAATTTTATAAAATGATGGACTTTTGTAATTTAAATAAGTGATTTATTTTGAATTAATTGACATCCATTTATTTGTTGCTATTAAAAATACTTTATATACAAATAGGTTAAAAATTAAAATAGGCAAATGCTGCTAGTCGCTAGCTGAAGTCCTATAAATATAGAAACCTAAAATTATTACATTAAAAATGAAGCTCACCCAAATACAGCCAACCAATTTTCACATTATTTGCTATGTGTGTCTCACTGAATATGGGCATAGAGGTAGGATTATGGTGGCCCGGTCTTATATAAAATAATGACGAGTCTATAATATAATCCCTCCAATCCTTATGATACCAATAAGTTTTTCGAGATTCATCTGCTGGCTCACTGAGGAAATTCTCTTGGTCTCTGAAAGTTTTAATAAAATAATTATCTACTTGTAAATTCAGACATGCACCATCAAGCAACATATGATGTTGTGTTAGGGCTCAAAAAGAAAGCAAGGGAGCTTATGATTAATATTAATAGAATTATTATAATATGTAGTTATTTTATTTATAGGATCAAGTACAATATCTATAACATACTGCTAAAACTTTTAATGATTTCAGAATACTAATATATATGTACATATGATAAACTTCCTGCAATTAGACTTGTAGGAGATACTTACGTTGTTTCTTCTATCCATTGATACATTTGAACTCTTTTTCTTAATTTCACTGCTTGGACTTGTATGTTATAGTCTGGTTCAGATATAGGCTCTAATATTCTTAGTGGGCCTACGATATGTACAACACGACCCTCATATCTTGAAGCCTCATCACCTGTATGGACATCTATGCTCTCGGCTATTGATACCAGCTCTTCCAACATTAAATTACTTTGAATTGTTTGACTCTAGAAGAAAAATGAAATTCAATTAATATTTGTTATACAAATTCATTCAAACACTTACAATTTGAACTAGTTCTATAGTGGTTTTCAATTCTACACATTATATACTATTATTGTGGTATATGGCATCTATACAATATGACTGTTAAATCAACCTATTAACATAATTCCCTACTACAAAATACTGTAATAAAAATATTAAAGTAAACATTATAAATCAAGTAGGAATACCAACTGTACAGGGATTTTCATACAAAGATTTTTGGCATTCAGTGCAAAGACATTATCATCACCTCACAAATTTGGATGAGATTTTGACCTACTAAAATAGTTCAAAATACTATTATTAAGTACAAGATTAGAGAGACAAATTGAACAAGATGTTTGATTAAATTTTGTAATTCTTTTTATGAGGCTAAATGTTTTATGTTTGACAACTTAGAAATAAATACTATCATATATGATACATATATTATTTATTATAATAAAGGAAAAATTTATATGGATAAATTCAATGTGAGTAATTTTAAATTATATACAATACAAGTGTATATAGGTAAATATTTACCAGCTTTGACTTTCTTACCCAGAACTAAAATAAACTTATTGTACATTGTAAACATACCTCCGCCCATAGTAAAAAATATGTGACACCTGAAAATAAAACAAGACTAAGACTTGTAGTTAGCCATGTTTGTTTGAAATGATTTCTTACTGTAGACCAATCCATCTGAAAGATTTGAATAATGTGAATTTGGGTGTGCCTCTCTGTTCTCTCTACTCTCTCTGAATCTTCAAAACAACTTGTAGAATCAATACATGTACATCTATGTTATAGACTAGCTGTACATGTGATGAAGTCGGCGTGGAATTTAACTTTATTTTTCTAAAATAAAAGTAGCCTAAGGTACTTCTAATTATATCAGCCACCTGCCAAAAAAGTCCCATCAGAATTGGTCCAGCCATTTCAGAGATTAGCCAGAACAAACAGACAGACAGACAGTCAAAAATTGTGAATAATGTTATTTTGGTATATGTACTATATTTATATTCATATGCATGTAGTAAAAAACGGTTATTTCAATATTATAAAGAAACACTCCAATTTTATTTATATGTATAGATGTATAGATAATGCATTTTTCATTGACAACATTAGGGCATTATCACACCCATAACTACAGCCACCAAAATGGAACATAGATATTTCATTCAGTCATCTAGAATGTACCACAATTTATAAATTCAGTAATCAAGCAAACTATGTTATATATATAATTTCTAATATAATATATATTGGTTTGTTAACTTTTTATGTACTTATAATAAAAAACGTTAATTGTCACCATAAATTAATTTGGATAAGCTATTTTATAGCTATGACTGTGAATAAAAACATTTTTAAAAGTTAATTACAGGCTCCAAGAATATTTCTGTAAATAGAACAATTACATTAGTAAAATTTTTTCAATTTGTGTATATAATCAACATTTTTACTCCAGTCTGGCACGGTATGCTATTTGGTACATATTCATCATCATCACCACATAGTGTAAAACAAGCCTCTGTTGCTGTCTGTCCGTCCCTATGTAAAGAATTAAATGCTAATACTTGACATACCATAATTTGCTTTATTATGTGTATCTAATTCATAAACAAATAACCAATAAACCAATTTAGGATTCACTGAGTAAACAAATAATTACTTTATCGTATACTCTTTCCTTAAAGGCATATACACTTTTGCAGTGACCGCATATACAGTATCAATGTTCCTTGTACAGTATTTAACTGTAGTGTAGACAGATTTTAACCATTGTCATAAAACTTGACAATCTTGTCATTAATGTTTAACTCTCAATGTCGATAACACAGCACTGTCAATTTAAAAACTTAAAATACTCTGTGACATTGTTTTTTCTGTGATTATAGGTAATCTATTATTCCTATTAAAAAATGAAATATCGTAATAACTTTTTATTCATAATTAATATAAAATATAATTCTCTACAAATTATTATGTTCTTTGATATATATTAATAGACCTTTTAGCTGACTATTCTTATAGGAATATTACTGTGCTAATGGATTTGTATTAAACTATTAAATATAATAGCGAGTTGTCATGGGATTTTACAACAAAATAATTAAGTTATTATGTCGCAACAACCCAAATTTTTCAAAACTGCATCGAAGATGTTATGAAACTATACCATTTCTGAATCTGTACGCGAAAACAACTGGTGAGAAACTTAAAAAATAGATAGTTCTAGTTATTTGCATATGATCCTGGTCGGCGAGAAGGCTTAATAACTCGACTTTCCTATTTATTGTTTCAAATACTTCCTATATCTCAGAATTTATGTCTGTCACATAAAGCTCTAGAAATATTATCTCACTTATATTAATATATAAATATAAAATTAAATCATTTTTCATATTAGCAATGAATTTCCTTGCTGTATTAGGTTACCTACAAATCTAATAGTAGAACAAAATCATTCTAAATATAAAAAACACTCCTAAAAATTACATTAAATAGTATCCAAAAATAAATAACATTTCATGGTAAAAATATATTTATTCTTAAATATCTTCATTCAGTGGCATATTTAGTGAAACAGTTTGATAGCTAAACTTAATTATTTAACATTAAGTAATTAAATTTATGAGATGTTTTAAACTGTGTACACAAACATAATTAAAATTATATGTTTCTGTTAAATACTATGTGTTGCATTATAAGTTTTTTATAAGTAATTCAATTGAAATATAATTGTCTTAATTTTCAATTCCAATCGGAAATAAATAATTATTACACATGGTTCATTTTTTTAAATAATTCTTTTGCAGGAAGTTTAATAACAAGTGACAGGCTACCAATTTTATTACAAAAACATCCAAACATTGATACCCTGAGCAATGACAGTCTAGAAGGTACATTGGAAATATTAAAGAAGTTTGATATCAGTGCACTAGATGCCTGCCGGAACCCTCATTTGTTCAGCATTAATCACATAATTTTGGATAACTATGGTGAGATATTAAAAGAATGTGGATTTGTGAATATTTTACCAAAACACATCATAAAGTAAGTTAATTTACACCACAGATATTTAATATGTATGGAATTACTTCCTTAGAGAAAACCCCTACTCTGTTTGAAAATAGAACAAGACCCTTTATTTTAAATAAACAACTTTGTTTTATTTATACTTTTTTTACATTATTTATCCTGCAAAACTCCTATTGGGGCTTGTCTGTAAGATTAAATGTCATATACAAATTCAATTATTAGCAATGTACAAAACAATTTTTATGTACTTTTTGTGTAAAAACTTATAAATTTTAAAATAAATTTTGACAGAAACAATTATTATATGTAGACAACTAATAATGATATTAATAATATGAACTAAAGGTTCATTAATATCAAATTCATTACAGATATCATACCCTGGTAAGATCTCGCACCATATCTTTTTTGAAAAAGGAAGGTTTAATTAAAGCAGATTTTAATCTTGAAGAAGTTCTTCATAGCTGTTTTCCAGAATGGCCCATAAAGTATAAATCTTTACAAAACTTTGCTGATTCCACTACCACAATATGTAAGTAACTTGTGTTTATATTTTGTAGAAATTAACCTGTTACAAGGAGATGGCAGTTTACACTTAAATTATATAAAGTGTCAAGCAAAGCATGAAATATCAATGAAAATTAGAAATATGTGACTTAATAAGACTTAACAAAGAATATTATGTGTCAGGTGGAAATCTTTATTGTTAGAAAAATAATTCCTTTCTTAGTAATTAGTTACTAATATTGTATCTGATTGATACTGTACCTAATTGTTATTTATGTGGTGAGTCTGTCTGTACACAGAAGAAATTTACAGTTGAACCTCCTCCTTTCTTATGATAATTTGTATGGACTTCACACAGTTATTGAATAATCATCAAATACATATGTATTTGAAACATTTCTTTGTGATACATATATAATATAATAGATGAAACTCCCAGACTGATGGAAAAAAGAATATTCATGAATACAATTTGTTTTAATATGGTGATGAACCAAAACTGCTACCACTGGAATTAAAGCTGTGTGCTAAACTACTATATTCTAATTAGATGTTAAATAACTACATTTAACTTTTATTTATTTTGTAGTGGTTGTTAGAATGAGTGTTTTAGAAAAATACCTGAACTGGAGATTGTCTGTCACATCAGAAGAATTTCAGAAATATTGTCGAAATTATTTACCTCTAAGACATAAACCAATGACCGATATTCTGGAAGCAATATCCATAGCAGAAGATGAAATTAAGTTCAACAAAGATGAAATTAGAAGAAATGGTTTCATACTATCTACTGATCCAATAAAGTCCAAACTTATTATAGAGAATGTTAGAACTCTAGCTGGTATGGACATTCGTGATGCAATAAGAAGTGAACCAGCAATATTAAAAAATAATTACAATGCTCTACTTGAAATAAGGGATTTGTTGGAGGTAACTATGTGTACTGCATTTTTTTTCATATGTTTTAAAATACATTTTGTTTTATAAATTATACATTTTTAGTTTATGTCAAAATTTTTCCATCAAAATTTTGTTCATTTCCACTTTAGAACAGTAACCCTAAATACCATTTCTAGAACCACAGTCAAAAATAATTACACAATTACCCCAAGTTTTCTACAATGGAGACTATTTGTTAAATCATAAATTTAAAATTTTCAAAACTTGTCGGCTTTGAAAGGCCCTCCTTTAAAAAATGTACTAAGGTGCCTTGGCAAATGCCATGAAAAGTTCGCGCATTTAATCAGGATTGTAAAATGGTTCTACCATTACTTGTTAGTTTCATACTAAAAAAAATGAGTAAAAAAATAAAACCCTCAAGTAATCCGATTTTTGCTAACCCATTTGTGAATAAAAAAGAATAAACCTAAACTAAACTAGGTCAAGATTTTTCATTATCTTATTTTTTTACTTTTGCTGACTTTGTGTGAATATAAAATAATTTAAACTGAAAAGAACCCAGAATTATCAGACTACAGAAAACCTAATTTGCCACTATTAAGAATATAAAGGAGCTTTCTTTTAGCTTCTGTAAATTGAATCTTGAATCCACCATTTTGCAGTTTTCATGCATTATCTCAAAATTGATAATACAATATTAATACACTTATAAAATGTAGGTCCAACTATTTAACTCTTATTAATTCTTTATTGATTATTATTTCAGTAGTATAACATTTGTTAACAAAGTTCATATATTGTTTTACTTCAGGAGTATAGAATATCAGCAGAGGCGCAACGGCGTTGTCTGAGAGTGTACTGCATGAAACCTAAAACTGTTAAAGAAAGATTAGATGACTTAAAAAACATGAAGGAGTATCAAATTCTATCAACCAATCCTAGAGTAAGTTAAGTTAAAACCTCTTGGTTTTGTAAAGTTAAAACCTCTCATCTAGGTAGATAAAAATTAAGTATAACTTAGTACTATTTGCATCTGATTTTTACAATTATGTAACTTAAATTGCAAGTATTGAACCTTAGTTGAACCGTCTTTTTAACGTGTGGAAAAATCTTCAAAAATGTGTGTGTGTGTGTGGGATTCTTACCCACTAAAATCCACAGGGTATACCTACAAGTACCATTGCCATAGTCACGAAAACGCAGTTCCACCGGCGTCAGCCCGCTCTCTAGATTTTAATTATTATAGATCTATTCTATCTATCTATATAATTTCGTCATATCACGCCTGTGGCTTTGCCATTTCTGAGGGATCATATGCCATGTCTCTGTAGCTTAGAAAGCAAGTTGCTGGGTGTAGAAATAAGTGAGACAGTACCCAAGCGTGTTTGTACAAAGTTTACTTTGAACACAAAAATTTTATTAGCATGCTTAATTTTTTTATAATTGTGAGTTGAGTACGGTATTATTTTGTTATTCAGGTTTTATCAATGGTAGTCCATAAAAGAAAAATGATGAATCGACTCACAAAAATTGAGGTTACAAGAAAGCAATGTTATAGTTTGAACCGTTTAATATCATCTAGCAAAGTGTTTAATAAGTAAGTAATATTATTAGATTTTTTATTCTATTATCTGTAGTCCCCAAACTAGGTCTGACAAACATTATACAGATCTTGGGAGCTATTATTTAAATGTATTTGTGTAACAACTTTTCTATAGTGTTACTTATCATATTGTGAACTTAATATACTATGAGTGTGAAATGAAATCAGCCCTCGAGTCCAAGGCAAGTTGCGACTTGCGAACTGCGAGCGGTACAGCTATTACGAATTTTTAGAATAAATATATAATTACAGTGTTATAAAGTAAACAATGGTTTTTGGATACTTAAAGATAAATATAATAATATTTTTTCGCCACTGTTATCCTAGATGTGGTAATTATTTATAAATGATCCTGACGGGCGTAATTGTTCAGATACCTGATAACAATACCGTTTAGAATAGAATAGTTATGTAAAAGGCACGTATTTTTAACTAGAGGGATAAAGTATAAAAACCGTTTAAAGCTGTCCTCTCACTTATGTTGTTTATGTTTATTTTAAATATATATATTTTTTTGTATGATCAGGCCAAATCATACAGAGCTTTAATTGAAATAATTATCCACACAATAATTCTTTATTCTTGTTACAGTTACATAAATAGTTTCGGTAATAAGGTTTGCGGGCGAGATATCGGTATTTTAATAACCAGTTCATTAAATGTGGAGGAAGACAACATAAGTGAAAATTCTAATAATAAAGAATATATTAAGACTACACTGAATCAACTAAAAAGACACAAATATTGGCTATATACCGCTCTAGGTATTGTTGACGAGAACATACAATATTTAAAATTGAAATTTGACAACAAAACAATACATGGTCATTGTCAGTTGTTACTGTATCCTATGTAAGTATCAAAGTTATAAAATATACTCCTTGTGTTAAAGCAGCACTCACAGTTTGCCGTCATGTGGAATGTGAAAAAAATTGGCACTTCTCAGTAACTTTGGCATGATAATTTGCATTATAGTGTGTACTCGATCTTTACATCCATATTTATTTGTCTATAGTACTACTTTCTTCTCTTCTTCTACTTTCATTGTCCGATTCCCACAAAAATACTTACAAGTTATAAGTAATATGCATATTTACTGTGATATGACTTTCTCGATAACTATATTTGAAAAAAAAAACACAACGTGTAATAGAATAGAATAGAAAATCATTTATTCAAATAAACTTACATTGAAACACTTTTGAATAGTCATTACATTTTTTTAATTTACCACTCATTCGGAAAGCTGTCTCATCAGAAGAAGAATGAGCAAGAAACTTACGTGTTGCTCTTTTAAATAATTTTATTATTACTTTACATTTTTAAGTTTAAGTGTGTGAATACAAACCACCAATTAGCACTAATTCAATTAAATACTCAAATAGAAAAAATATTGAATATATAACCAACTGGTTAAACAATTAATAAGAGGAAATTAGTCATAGTGATTAGAGCAGACCAGACCCTACAGGCAGCACCCGTTCACGAGTATGACGGATGAGCCAGCCATCACTGCGCTCGACCATATTTTAGGGAGCCCAATGACCCGGCCCACCACGACGCCACAAGTCTGGGCATTTTAGTGAGCATGACTACTCAAAACACTAGACCACGTCATAGCTACTTACAATTGCCATCTGATAGTTATAGTATTCACATTTTACATAAGAATGCATGCGGCAATCAATACAAAAACCGCTACGCTTTCATATTTCTAAAATAATTAAATCAAGAAAGCAATGATAAAAATAAACTATAACGTTTGCTAATAAACTAATTATTTACTTGTTATGTTGTCATCTATGAATTCGTCTATCCTGTAATAGGCTTTCTTACACAAAAATTGTTTAGTATAGGATTTGAATTGCCTCTCTGTCAGATTTAGTGCAGATTCTGGCAGTTTATTGTAAAATCTTACGCAATTACGATATATTTTACTTATTTCCATAGCATAATGTCATATGGCACTGCTGTGGGGTAAGGGCGTTTTCTATTTGAGTATTTAATTGAATTAGTGCTAACTGGTGGTTTGTATTCACACACTTAAACTTAAAAATGTAAAGTAATAATAAAATTATTTAAAAGAGCAACACGAAAATTTCTTGCTCGTTCTTCTTGTGATGAGACAGCTTTCCGAACGAGCGGTAAATTAAAAAAATGTAATGACTATTCAAAAGTGCTTCAATGTAAGTTTATTTGAATAAATTATTTTCTATTCTATTCTATATAAGTTTAACTGTCGCCACGTCTGTTAATTGCCTCATTCTTCTAATTGCATATGCAGCAGAACTGAGTCTACTGGCCAATTTTAAAATATGAGGCCCCCATTGTAATTTCGAGTCCACTGTTATACCTAAAAAACTGTATCATTAACAAAATGTGCTATTGAAATAACTGTGTATTTATTAGTCTTACATTAGGAATTGTAACTTTTATACACTTTGTTTTGCTGGAATTTAATAATAGGTTATTACATGTAAACCAATTTAATATAGCAGACATAACACAATTTACATCGTCTAATTGATTAATTTGACGTCCAATTTTATACATAAAGGGAAGGTCATTTATGTAAATTAAAAAGAGAAAGGAGCCTAAGATTGACCCTTAGATTTTACACCGTCAATATCTACAGTTTGGACCCTATCCTCTAAATAAGTTCTCATTAATTTTAGATCATTATCTCTTATACCATAATGTTCGATCTTGTACAAAAGCATTTTATGATCCACGCAATCAAATGCCTTTGATAGGTCACAAAAAACTCCGAATGCATCCTGTGACTTCTCCCATGATTCGAAAATATGTATTATTAGCGCTACACCTGCGTCAGTGGTAGACTTGCCGGCGGTCAACCATATTGCTGACTGTGAAGCAGTCCGTTATCCCTGAAATGTTGTAACATTTGATTTAAAATTATCTTTTCAAACACCTTACTTAGAACTGGCAAAATAGATATAGGTCTATAGTTCCCTGGCTCAAAATACATGTACACCCGTGCGAAGGCGGGGTGGGTTGCTAGTACAGTATATCTTTATGTTAAATTTCATTAAAATCCATTCTACCGTTCAGTCCTGAAAAGTAAACAAACAGAAACACATTTTCACATTTATAATACCAGTATGGATATAATGTACATGTAAAACGCTCTTACCAATTTGTATGTTTGTAATGTGTGAGAGTAAATCACTACCAAGTAAGAATAAGAGCCACTATTACGATACTACCAACTGCTTTAATTTGATTTTAGATCAGAAGTAAAACATTACGTGGAGATGTTACTTAAAAAGCGCAACGGAACTGATCTCGATGAAAACCTAGACGCTAGCTACAACAATTTAAATTTTTCCACTCTTACTGACCAGCACATTCTCAGCCTAGTTTTGTATGAAATGGAGAAGAAATATCACTTCAGTGGTGATGGTGTTTGGTCTAACCAAGAAGGCATTAAGTTAGATTCCAAGGCTGTGAATTAGTGATTTTGATGTTTCTAAATAAAACCATGGATCGAAGGATACTATAAAATGGCTGTTGATAATTTTAAATATATACAAAGTTATTTCTGTAATTTTTCTAGTAAATTTAAAAACTACTAAAGAAATTTATGTCAACTCATATCGATTTGGTATCTTAGCATCTCTTATAAGTGCCTTTCGTGGTATTTTTTATACCTATAATAAAAGACCCAGGCAAACAAAATAATAATGACACTCATGGGATTTTAGCTGCTGGCTAACTTTAATTGCAGTGCCATCCACCTTTACTATATTTGTTAGTAGACCATACAGTGATAATAGATATATTTTTGTAAATATGTATCCAAGTAAGATTAAATAAAAAAAACTTCAATTAAGCACATTGGTAATATTATTTTTATCTCCTTATTAAAAATACTAAAATATTATTATAATTACAATTTACCTTATTGCTTCACAAAAAACTTAGCACTATAAAATATTCAGCTACTATTTTATTTAAACATAACTACTAAAAATGTAATCAAAATAAGTATAACCATTTTATTCACACGTGTGATTAATGATATCGTTATTTCTACACGTAAATTGAACAAATAGTGTTTTACAATTAAAGTATGTTTAAAAATATTTTTGAGAAAAATACTAGTTAAAATCTTTGGTTCATACCTACTGTATGTAAAGTTAAATACATGACGATTAATATATGGAGATCAACTTATTTTTAAACTTTGTGGCTTTTTATACTAGCTATAAAATGCTTAACAACTTGACTGAGCACACATTTACATTCTTGGCATTGTAAAACATGTATTTAATTAAAGTAATGCTTATAATATTTGGCACATATCATTCACGATTACATCGAAGTACATATTTACATTAACCATTAAATTTATTATTATCTTAATAAAATATATATATTCTTTATATAAATAACATACATTTTTTTTATATAACTCACTTTCAACTTATGGAAATGGTAACATTCCCATACACATATGTATGAAAAACAACATGAACTTCATAAATATGGTGCCTCTTATAAAATGCTATTCCTGAGGCTTAATGTTTTGGAAGAAATTGTGATAATTCGGTGAAAATTATGGTCGGACCAGTATAACGCTAGCACGAGAGTTTACAATTACTTAGAAGTTAAATAAAATAGCTTCATGGTGAAATGTAGTATTTTCGAGTTTGTAGCGAATCCCAAATGTCGTTTAGGAAAGCTTCAGTGTCGCAATATGACCTAATTAGGATTACACCCAAAAAAAACAGTATTTAAAAGAATATTCCGGTTTCGAGGTTTCTGTTCTTTAGAGAAATAATATTAAAATAACCGAATTAGTGTAAGGTAGGTATTCTAATTTTAATGGAGGCTTATTTCACTGAGCGGAGCAATCAATACTGCGGTATCCGCACGAATCAAAGTTGTTAACATATCGCTTATACGAGTGACAATCATCTGCTAAAAAATATAATCAAAGTAAAATAAGCGCCGAAATCCACATAGTAATTACATAGACAAATAGTATAAAAACTCACGATAAAGACAGTTTTTATTAGTATTAGTCCTGTCTTTGTTTTACCCTTTACCGTTCCTTTATTATACCTACGTTAATTTGAATAATCGATTTATTCATAGATTGACTCGGTAGTTTCCTAATAAGTAGGTATAATAATAACGAATAATCATTATATTCTTCCTAAATTGTATCGAGATTTGGTGGGTATATTGTTTCCTTAAAATTGTGTCATCATTATTACATAGAATAAAACAAAGTCGCTGTCGCTATCTGTCCGTCTCTACGTATATTGAAATCTAAAACTAAGCAACAGATTTTAAAGCGGATTTTTTTAAATAGATAGTCGTTCAAGAGGAAGGTTTATATGTATAATACACGTACACCCGTGCGAAGCTGGGGCGAGTAGCTAGTTTTATTAATATAATGACAGGTGTGATCGTAACGTCGCTCAAGATATTTTGGCATATCTTGCTAATCTAAAATCCTCAATGACTCTCTTAGAACAGCAATAAAAGCTTTTAGCTGTTGTTATTAGAATGTCATGTGTTAGCTAGAATTAGCGCACAACATAGGTACAAAATGCGTTCTGAAAGATTTATCCGGCTACAGTAATTTAATCAATGAAAGTGAAGTGAGTTAAATCTATGGAAGCTTTGGATTAGGTATATTGATGTGCAAATTAACCAAATTAGGACCGAGCCAATTTTATAATCACCTACAAGGAAAAATGTTTGCCTTTCCTACAAATAAAATATTATCTATATTGTGTGCCTACTTAATATTTCTTTTATTAATTGTCACATACGTATTCTATATAGATATAATATTAATTAGAAACTACATATATCTATATGTTTAACTGTATACCCATAATCTAATAAAATTGACATTTAGGCACATTTTTTATAATAGATAAGGCACGAGGAATGCACGTGAAGCTAAGAATCTCATGTTTAATAGGACTTACTATTCTAATATTCACTTAAATATATCATATTTACCTTACTGCTAACTCGTAAAAAAATAATTAAATAACTATTTACAATCTTATTGCCAATTGGTCCTCTATAATTTTTAGAAAACATATCAATATAAAAGTAGAGACTAATAAACATTACAAACATACAGCACTTTCTAGGCAATGTATAGTTAACTAGTCTTTTTAATGTTATCTATTTAAGAACATTAAAGGCTGGGTAAAACTTATGGAAATATACTTTGGCAATTCTTTTTATAATGAATACATGCCATTGCTCCTTAGAAATAATCTTTATTTGAGTAGAGACTATTTCTAAGGACAACACGCAAGGGTATGTATGTATAGCCTCTTGAGTAATGTCGTTGTGCATACTCCTTTTCGAAATTATCCATGACACCAGCTACTTCAGCTCGGACAATTTCGAAAAGGAGTATTTCAATTCAAAAAAGGAGGCAGAGTAGTGTACGCCTGACTAGGGCTGGGCTCCATCTTGACAACTACGGGCTGTGATAGATCTGAGTGTCGCTCCATTTCATAATGCTTGTCGTGTGTAACCATGCCACACTTGTCGTAATCATCAGGCGGTGCTCCGTACCGCGGCGGCTCCTCTTGCATGGAACATGCTGCATATTTCTCTTGGTGATCGTGTCCCCGATACTCCAACTTTTCATCGTGTCCATGCGCCTCCATTTGCGGTGAATGTGCTGCCATCATTGGGTAGTCTCGAACTCCCAATGGCGGCGGACTACCCTCTCCATATTCAAATGAATGCCTCGGTGCAAACATCTGTCCGTCATGACCGTTTAGCACTGTAGTGTAAGAATAGGCCGCTGGCTGCGTATTAAAACCTGGATACCCGCTGTTGCTCGACGATAGTAAATGATGCGATGAGAGCTCGTAAGAGTGTTGATAAGACCAAGAATCCGCTGGCGCTGAAAGTCCGTTCTGAGGGAAGGCAGGTAAGTTGCCACCGATGCCAGAGAAGCCGCCACCTAATGTAGTCGAACTGGGTGAACTAGATCCAATGTATCCTGTTTTCCGAGGGGGTTCCCGTTTTCGCCATTTTGCTCTTCTATTTTGGAACCATACCTAAAATATAAAGTTAACAAATATATTAATTTTTTTTTATTGAGAATTTAGAGTTATGGTTCTTATATTTAATTACAGTCATAAACTCATAAAGTTGTATATATATCTTTTGTTGGAAAAGACCATGGACTTGCTCCTCCAACTAGCGTGAATCGACATTCGATTGTGGCCATAGAAAAAAAGACTATTCAGAAGTAATCAAATATTGTTGTTTTAATAAAAAATATTTCTATATCTAAACATATCAGCACATGAATCTAGCAGATAAAAGAAACTAGAAATTAAAAAAGATAGTATGTTTCTACTAATTATTCTCATATTCGTTTGAGTAAGTTAAAGTATTGTTAAGCTAGCTTACCTGTACTCTTGATTCAGATAAATTAAGTTTAAGAGCCAACTCTTCCCGCGCGAACACATCAGGATAAGGTGCCCGTTCGAACGCCCGCTCTAATTCCTCGAGTTGATACGCCGTGAATGTAGTTCTATTGACAAAAAAAAACTAAAAATATTCAAATAGTAAATAAATTCTCAATTACATATTCATAAATAAATTATTCTTATCATTCAGCGGTACATCTACCATCTGACGCGTGCAATATGGCTGCGGGCGCACGCGCAGAAATTGATTGAGCGTGAAACGCAATTCACCCCTGTTGTGCACGAGTAGGTACATCTAATTGCCTGCCAATTGATCGTAGTGTTTATAGTGGCGCTATTTTATTAATTGTTTTACCACATTGTTTCGTTGTAATCTCTCATTTTTATTTTGATTCTTCATTCAATTGATACCTACATATCTAATGATTTGAATTAATGATTAAACAAAAAAAATTCTCTATTTTAGAGACAATGTCTATAACCGTAGAATAAACACCTCGACTGACGCAAATTTAATAATTCACTCTTCTCCATTCTAAGAAGGAAGGGATCGCTTCTAAGTACCTAATAATATTTCTTATAGTATTTTAGGTGCCTTCATCTCTTTGTACAAATTCGATTATTTAAACGATTTTCTGCGAAAGGAAATCACTCCTCTACTTAGTACAAATTATTAAGTAACTTTTGAGTGGTTAACTGTAAAATACAAATATTATTAGTACAATAGTAAATTAGTATACGGTAATGTTTCTGATTTACGTAACAATATCTATGTAAATACTACGTAATATTCCAATATCGTAATAATAACAATAATCAAGGGCAATTCACACAGAGTCAATTTCCCGAGCTAAGCATAGCTTGTGTTGGCAACTGATAGATATAGATACTTAAGCACATTTAGGTATTTTGGTAAACACATACATTTCGATGTATAAAAATTGGTAATTGCCGACGGTTCAGTAAAATACCCAACATTAGGATCATATAGAGATGGTGCCACGATATGTAGATTCATAACTGCCCTCGGCTGCTGGGCGAGATGATACGATAAAGCAATTGACTCCCCGCAGTCATACGGGTAATTAAACTCATAGTGTGGCGCCGCCTTTATATTAAGTACATTATAGTTGTAAAGACGAATGCATTCAACGTTTTGTTGTTAGGCCTAAGAAAATAAAATGTGGATACCTATAGTTAATAGATATGGGTATATTAAACGGAGTTTGTTAGTTTCCGTTGAAGATATTTGTAATTCAGCAAATAAGTTAACAGTCCTCCTTTTGTAAACAATTACGAACTATATTAACGTAATTAGTACAAAAAGTAGGTAAATATTAATTAAGTAATATTTTTAAGAAAAAAGCGACCGATTTCTATATTTTACAAAATTACTAACATGAGAGTAATTGCTGACAATTTTTATATAAAATCAATATATTCTTATATAACGCTCCGATTAAGTATATTATTATTAGAATATATCTGATTAAATGCAAAAGAACTATTCAACGACATCTTTTTCATATAATATGTATGGTAGAGTATTGTAAATACATATATTAGCATCGCTGGGTAGGTATATTTATTTCCTAGGTTATATACCTAGGAAATAAATATTAGAAATATCAAGCAAAAATAAATGACATTATGATTAAAAAAACTCTTCATAACTTAAGCCATATGTTGTATGTTTATGATAATATAAAAATCATCGTATTAGTTATGCAAATAATAAATGTGGGGTGAGCGTGTGCCATCGATGATCCAATTCCGATAGAGGGTTCGCTCCCCGTCACCTGTTATGGTTGGTATGCAGGGTGCATGCCCTCGTTTGCTAAAGAACATTTCTCTAAAATGCTTTTAGACCAACTCTAATGTTAATGAGATTATGCTGTGTATTTAATATTGTTATCGTTCAGGTTAGTTTGTAATTAGAACGATTTCTTTTTATTATGGTTAAAAAGTCAGATTGTTGATCACTTTTTTTTTATTAAGTATTTTACTGCCCTGGAAATCTCCTTTCAGCCAAACAATTACAATCACTCTTGAGAAGTGGCCTGTTATCGCTTATGCACAGTTGCAACACAAGAGGATCGCTGGTGTACTGACGAAATATTAAAAATATGTACGCTCGGATTTTTAAGTATACTTCAACTTACATTATAAATCTACCTCTTATCCTGATTAAAAATACAATATGGTACTACTCCTGATTATCTACTAAGGGATCTTATACATTAAATTACAGTAATGCCTACTCATTTGTTTTACATGAGTAGGTAATAACTGCATATTTTACACGTTGCTGTTTCACATTAGATAATTATCTACCTTATATTATGGTGTTTGTTCATTTCGTTGAGTACCAGTCAAGTAATCACAATGGGTTGTTTCGTAAAAGGTTTCTCTTAGTTTTGTCAAACCATAGGCTATAGTTTTTACAGAAAAGCTCTATAAATCAAGCTGTAAACTACGCGCCGTAACCACGTAGCCACTCACTACTTAGCTAGTGACTACGAAACCTACACACTACGGTTAAGTCCGGTCATAAGAATAATACCTACAGAGTTCTTTATTATTCTTATGATACCCATATATAGGTTTCAATAAACTTATAATAAATTTTATGTGAGTGTGTCTGGTCATATAATTTATTTTTTTGCATGAAACGACTGTAAAAGGAAAACAAATAATTAAATTATCATCAGATTACTTTTAAGATAATAATTATTCAGTAAGGCAAATTTTGTAAACACATCTACCTATTTCAGTCGCTCAATTGCTGGCTGTCAATTGTAAGCTGTATCTCAGTTAAAGACATGATATCCTATATCCATCAGAATGGCAACGCATTTATCACGGGCGTCACATGACGACATGATGTTCTTAGGGCTGTTCATGTATATAGACGAAGGCTGTCTCGTTTGTCCTAATTACGTATAGTAAACATTATACATCTCTTATATATTTTATGTATTATTCTTACCTAGTTTTCTTTTTCTTTATGCCATTATTGTCACTTTTCTTTTTTTCACTCTTTTTCGTGGTTGGCGCCGGCGGAGGTGGCGGGTGAGGAGCCGGGGCACTGTCCACCTGCTGAAGCATCAAAGGTTCCTCTTTCCGTTTCTGTTCAGTGCCGCCGGTAAACACAGGCAGCTCATCACGATACTGCAGGTCACCAACAGCTCCGACGACGACCTGTACATGTCGCTCCTTGCCAAACTCGCTGAACATATGTTCCTCAAAGGTTGGCTGTTCCATGCTGCCGCCTGGCTCGAAGGTGCACTCATAGCGCGTGCCGGCGCCGGCGGCGCTGTCCCCGCACACGTACATGTAGCCGTCGGCCGGCGGCGGGTGCGGGCCCGCTACCTCCGCGCCCACCTCGCTAGGCTCCGTCGCGCCTGACTCGCTGCCGCTACCACCGCGCTGCACACTTCCGACTCTCAGCTCGATTCACGAGCAGTTTATCGAATGCGATATTAAACAATTTAAGTTCATTTAGACGAGCCCTCGGGATCGTCGAACGCTCGCGCCGTTCGTTTCCTCGTCTCCGTCCCGATTAAATGGCTTTAATCAACTTTAACGAACTAACCGAATTTGCTCTACGGTTGGTCAATTTATATTACCATAATACATCTGCCGACGAAAGATTCGAACCAATGAGCAGTACAACCGAGAGTGACGAGAGTAGGACCGAGACTACTATTCTCGTCTGTAGCATGCGGTCACAGGAAAGTATTTCGTTCACGGGAGGCGGGCGCTTACGACATAGTATGGAATGAGAAGAGACCAATGGAATCGTATCGTAGCCACTCCCCCTAGTGTGCAAGGCACCCCTCGCGCCCTCGCGCTCTCGCGGCACGAGCTGCGGGTTGATGCGCCCGTCGTCGTTCTGTCGGCCGTGCACCATGCGGGATTCCCACAAATTCACCCGATATTTTGTTTGCTTCGCCAGTATTTTAGGGCTCGTACGCCCACATCATTATTTTGAATGTCCATGGCTGTTCCATTGTGATTCGATATCAACACCACTCATGTGTCTATTTTATAATTTATAACCGTGGGAATGCTCAGATTTTAGGCTTTAAATATTATAACAAAAATTTTATGAGAATTTCCATTAGTAATGTTCAGTAGATATTGAACATCAATCATAGACACCTTACTACTTATTACACAACTTTTATTTTTATTCGGGAGGTAACAAAAATAGGTAGCTATATTGTTAAAGTTAACTGGATAGAGATCATATTTACATAATATTAATATAATCAGTGACCCCACCTCAGGAGGTAGAACGTATGCACTAAAACTACGAAGAGTAGAAGTATCGAAGAGCGGCGCGCGCCTTAGCAGCGGCGCACGCGCACTGATGCACACAATCGACGCCGATCGCTTAATTATTAATTAACAGTTATTGCTGGGGATTATTAATAAAACATTCGCCCTGACTATTGGCACTTAGATTAACGTAGAGGGAGTAATGGCGCATTTCAACAATTTCGGTTGTTATTTAATTGAAGTCAATTTAGATGATCAGAGTCTATTTAGGTTGGTGCTGGCACTCGCCAGCGGGATCTCTGCTTCATTGGGCTTATTGGTGACTTTCAGACAACACGAATTGCACTCGTCGATGCACCTCTCGTCGCATTTGCAGTTTGTGAGACGCGGAAAAATGGGTCACGACCAAATACCTAACTAGTAAAACAATGCAAGTATTCAAGCTCCTTATAGTGACAAAAATATATAACTTTGACGGTTAATGTGAACTTGACTGATGTTAAAGTGAAAGTGTATACGATGAGTATGAATATCACAGATAGTCTGATGTGCGTCTCAGAACTGATTTAGGATGTGTTGGTGCGTGCGAAACATGTTTTTGTGACGGTCGTTCATTCGTATTTTGTGAACGGTGCCGCACCTAAGTACACTCGTGTAGGTATAGCTTAATCATAATTTTTATATATGTACGACATCACTAGACTTAGATACATAAATTATATGGTTTTGTACTTTTTTCAACCGATTATTTAGTTAAATACATAGCGTAAACATCTGCGTCACAAAATGACATGAGGAAGATTTGTCATTGTCTTATTAGATAAATTACTAAACCGTTACTTACATAGCAAAAGCATTTTAACAAAATTATAAAAGACTACATGTTACCTAAGCTTCGTATTTTTGAGATAAATATACATAACACGATACAATCCGTCTTCACATCAAATTTCATTAATATCAACTTAATATTATAAAAATATTTATCAGTATTATATGTATAATATATACGTTAAAGAATGACATATGTTCTAATATAAAAAGATAAGAAAAAAAAAATATTGTGGTAACCACACTTACTACGCTAATCTCTCACAGTAGCGCCGCTACACCACTACGCTACACTCCCTTTATGCAATAAGAGATCCGTACAGATACTTAGTCGTGATAAAGTATTAAACATACACACTATCTCATCTATAATATTAATATGGACTGTTTAAATTAATATGTCAATCGTAGTTATTCCATTCATGCTTATCAAAATGTGATGCAAAAATACCTACGCATGACAGTGCCTGCGTTTTGTAAATTCTGTAATAATTCACTTCCAAGTATCAGTTATACTTATCTGATTTTCAGGACCCTCATACCCACCGGGCACAATGGGCACGTGCCCAGGGCCCCGCGAAGGTTTGGGGTCCCCTAGTGTAGTCTAGTCCCTACTACATTACCGATACCTACTCTATACAAACGTTTACCAATAGCTACCCTACGCTCGCCTGAAAATCAGTTTTAACAAACGCTTACCGACTATGGTCAATTTGTTCGTTTTTGTAATTTTTTTTATAAATATCTGGCAAGAACTTGAACCCCTCAATAAATAACGACTTTTTAATATTATTTTTCATAGGGGCCCCCTTATCCTATTGTGCCCAGAGCCTCTAATATGTGAAATACTGCCCTGGTGATTTCTTATAAAGATTATAGAACAAGAGCCCACTACGGCCAGACATACGTCATATTAGTAAACGTGAAAGTTCTTGTATGTGTGTCCCCAACACAGGTAAGAACGATCCCCAAACATGAATCCTGGATCGTGGTTCCTTTGGCAGGTAACAGGTAACAAAGGTGTAAAAAATTTCAAATCAAATTCGTTATTTTGAGAAACTCCATATTTTCATATATTGTTCGTAGCATTATTCTAACTTGCGCTGCTCATTGCCAGACACTTAGTGTGGTTCCAACCCACCGCCGGACCCCTCTAAACTATACTATTTTATAAATAAATTTACGTCATTTTAATAAAACTGAACTTTATATATATTATTGAGAGAACTATTAAACTGAGTCTCCTAAATTGCCAGACAGTGTTCTTGGTTCCTTATCCTACCAGACTCATTGAAACCGTATATTGGGTAATAACGGTGTATACAATTTCATATCAAATTCGTTATTTTAAGACGCTCCATTTTTTCACATATTGCTCGTAACAGTATTATAACTTGCTCTGCTCATTGCCAGACCCTTAGTGTGGTTCCAACCCCCCGCTGGACCCCCCTAAACTATACTATTTTATAAATAAACTTAGGCCATTTTAATAAAGCTAAACTTTATATATATTATTGAGAGAACTATTAAACTGAGTTTACTAAATTGCCAGACAGTTTTCTTGGTTCTTCATCATATCCATCCATCGCTATTAAAAAATAAGAGTTGATGGTAGAAGGGTGAAATTTTAGGATTGTATGTATTTTTAATGCTACATTATAAACAAATTTGTCAAAAAAATAAATGAAAAGTAATAAAGATAGTAGTCGATTCTCAGATATAATGAATATGCATATAAAATTTCATAAAAATCGGTCAAGCATACTCCGCAAATGGAGAATATGGTAACTAACATGGTGACACGAGAATTTTATATATAAGATAGGTATCGGCGATGGTTACCGCTTAGCAACTGTTGGCCTGGCAACTTGTTTGCCATTTCAATTACACAAAAAACCCTGAATAACAGTTGTGATGTTATATTAAATAACTTTTTTAATAGCCTCGATGGCCTGGCGGTTTAGCGCACCGCACATACTTTCGATGATCGGGAGTTCTCTTCTTCGCATAATACAAACATTAGTAGATATTCACGGGTATAATTGTTTACATTCTCTAGTCTAGGTATTGTCTATGAACATATTATGTGTATACCAAAAATTAAATTAAGTATTTCTATCAGTTGTCTAGTACTCATAACACAAACTCTGCTTAGTTTTGGGGGACTGGATAGCGTTCTGTGAATTATTCAGAATTATTATTATATGTGGAATAGTGACCTTAATCAAATGAAGAATAAATATTTAATTATGTTACCCAAAAAAGCCTAAGAAAAAATTTCAATACAAGCTTTCAATGTCATATTTATTTATATTTAATAGCCTAAAAATAACTTTCTATTTGAAAATGACTATCTATACAACTTTTCATATACCGTGTCAACCCCTTCGCATTAAAAAGTAGCCTATGTTGTTTTTCAAGGTCTAGACTGAGTGTGTCAAATTTAATTTAAAACTGTTTAGTAGCTTTGGCTTAAAAGCGAAACAGACTAACAGACAGAACTTTTTAATTTATAATATTATTAAGGATTGTCACAACTTAGTATATATACCTAAATGTAACCTACGTATACTAACAATAAACATATTTAATAATGTTAGGTATCGTATGTACTTACAAAATGACTCATGTGACGTTCCGCGTAGGCGCTTCACATAAAATCTCTCTAGCGACGGCAGCTCGACGCAGAATCTGCCGCCCGCTCAATTGGACTCAATTGGTTTAATTGGTTTCAATTGAAATGACCTCGCGCACCGGCTCCCGCTCCTAGTCTGACACTTTTACATCTATCTTTTTTGGAGCTGACATAAAAGCGCTAAGATAAATTTCATCACTCTCAATAAAACTACACAATGTACTTATTATCTAGTACGTGTTATATGCCTATAACTAGAGGAGCCACTTACTCAAAACTAACTATAGCATAGTTATAATTTAGTAGAAATTTCATCAAGACAAAACGAGAGTCTATATTGTGCCTCTAAGTAATTATTTAGAGGTTTTCCAAATTACGAATTCTAATATACCTGTGAATATTAAAAATGTACCTAACTGTTAATCGATATTAATAGCAGATAGGTTATAAATATAAAAATAAGTAATATATTCTTTACTGAGACAAAAAAAAACGCTGTAAATAGTGTCTGTTTGAGATATTGATCCATTTTAGAGTAAATGCTAGAAATTAAGATTAAGTAAACATAAAGTAGGTACAAGATACTAATTATTAATATAACTTTTAACAAAATTTCCGGCTGTAACGCATGACATATTTCAGAGATAAAGTACATAAGATTCACATATTAACCCAAATTTTCCAGTATGTGAAATATAACATAAAAAGAAAATTTAGCAAAATTCTGGTCCTTGTAAAATTAAAAACCATTTAATAATATATTGGATATAATTAAATCCTTCATACAACATTGAGCTATATACCGATATTATATCGTGTACATCAAATATAGGTATATATTTGATGTAGGTACACGTATCTATACGTATAAAATTATTAATCGCTAAGAACAGTCTAATGTTTGCAAATTATTAAAGCAATAAATGCAATTTATGGTAAGGATTCAGATTAGGTAGGTATACCTATACGGCGACTCATGACAAATGTAGTTAAAAAGACAACACATTTTGGCACGTGTTCTATCCGGTGCACAATTGGGTTTAATTAGGAAATAGCGGCGCGGGACGTGCGTCCATAGCCATCTTCAGTCATATGCTGTACTTGTCCCTAATTTTAAATGTTTACACTAAATAATCAACTTGGTAATTTCAACGTAATGACATATGCGACTTTCTTTTCGACTTCTTTCCTTTGTTACTCCAAAAGTGTCTGAAATCTCGACTGGTGCTAGGTTGCTCAGATGCCATAATATCCATACCTTGACCTAATTTTCTTGAATTATCTACCGTACTGTATTGTCCAGACAAATTTTCGTTAGTTTCTTGTTCATAATCTACTGAAGGAATTGTTATAGTTTCTTCATCAAATCTTAAACGTTTCATGGCTTGTTTTCCAAATTCAATTGTATCTATATCTACTTCAGATGAAACATTTTCATGTATCAAGCCACGGGAACGTATTTTATCTTTATGAGTATCATACAAATGACTTATAATCTCATGTTCTTCCGTAACTGCTATTTTCCGTCTATCTTCTGGCTCTAAACTTGTCTCCATATGACTTGAATTGGATGGTGCAGAGTCTGACCGGACTTCTTTAAAAAGTTTTAACATATACAATTCGTCCGAATCATTTCGATTGTGTCCTATAGTAGCTGCCTTCGTTTTCGATTTTGTTGTTGGGTATTTATTTTTGTTTGATTCTAATATCAATTTCATATCTCTGTTTATAGCTCTTTCTTCTTTCATTTTCGATATTTTCACGTGTCCAATTTCTAAACTATCGCCAGTCTGTACAGAAACATTTACGGTTTGACCATGTGTCATTTTAAATAGCTCTAGTTCAGTAAATGAGTTCGCTTTGCTCTCTGAATGCACATTTTGATCGCTTGTCAGGTCGTCATACACTTTTAGGTTCTTTTTTCTAATGCAATCAGATATCAGACATTTTTGCAACCATCTACATGAAAACAATTGTCGCCATTTATTTATGTTATCTTTATAAATGACACCGTCTTGAAATACATGCTCGTACACCATTTTAGTTATATCATCAGTATCGTTTGGTGATCTCATTATACTTTTTAAGTATAATCTGTAAAAACACAATAGTTATTTATGTAACTCTGAACTAAGTATAATTGTTTATTGAAAACCTTCGGTGAAAACCTTTTTTTTGTTAAGATCTGGAAAACTAATTCTTAACAAATGTATATTTATTAACAAAAAAAGATAAACTAAGGTTAAAATATATACACAAAAACAACAACCGAATTTTTTAAAGCGTTTCCTATTACTACGTCCTTAATGTAATTTTTGATCAATCAAAAAAGCGCATACAATATTATCAAATGTGAAATCAGGTTTTTTCATCAGTATCACTAATATTGTAGTAAATATTTGTAAAGATGTATATACGTATACGGTTCGGTTGTAGGAATTTGTGTTAAATTTATTAGATAGAGCAATCGTTTCTATAGTATTTAAAATGAGATTAGATGCTGAATACAGGTAGTAGAATAATAAAGATTTACTCATTGTCATCTCCATCAGTGTAAATGAAAAATGCATCCGACACTTTCGGTACACAACGTTTGAGCCAATAGTGTACAACATAAAGCATGGTAATCAACACGGCCAGAAAGGTGACGGCCGCAAGGCACACATTGTGTTGTAGACCCACTGCAGCACCACACATGAGCCGGTCTTCGTCATAAATATCTATATACAACATCATTACTAATTTATAATATTTATTATACCAGTAGAAAATTTTTGTCAACATAATTTTCAGCTATCCATCGTCCTAGGATTATTATAGATATTATCATATTCCTTTATATATATATGAATATGGAATGAGGCTAGCGCTAACGGCATACGCCGATAATATGAAGAAGAAGTCATGCCAGTTAGCCTACAGTGACAATGACAAATTCCTCAAGAATTAACCACCATGGTTTCCAGGGAGAACATGCGAATGTTACATAGATAGCTCAGATTGTAAGGGGGCACAACCATTACTGACAATCCTCCCAACTCATTATTTTCAAACTATAGAACTTTTGAGGATACATAAACTTAAGGCCAATAATGGTTCGTTCTTACCCAACAAACATTTTTGTAGTCGCCACAACGTGCCAAATGTAACTTTTGGTACCACAAGCTAGTCGTCGTTACGTCGTTATTACGTCGAAACGACCGAAAATAGGCCCATTTTAGATTACTTAGTGACATGATAAAGTCGCATAGTCATAATCTAAGTGGTATAACAGTCGTGTAGTGGTTGCAAAGATGTAGTATATCCACGTTTTGTGTCAGTTATACGGCATTTTGTGAATTGACAGTTCTATCACGATCTTTATACGGGATTTTGTTTGAAACTGATTGAAAAAGTGTAGTGAATAAACTATGACGGATAACATTCATGCTGTGTTAGTTTACAAAGTTACCATATTAGTGTTCAGCCATTTTATTTTATAATTTATATTTGTTTTACATCTTTGAAACTCGTGAAATACATTAATCTGTTGGGAATCTGTTTACTGTGTAATATGTACTTAGTTTTATCAATTTAATTAACGCGCCTTACAAATATTTTATATTTAACAATATTTCTTCCTATATTTTAATGAATGTAGTAATAATTACCTTTATGTGATTTTTAAACGACTTTTCAGCACAATTTTTATTTTAAATCTACGTACTGTCATCCATTTTAAAGAAATTAGGGTTCATTACTGTAATTTACGCAATTCAACTCGTCATTTCTCTGTTGGTCTCGCTGATTGTAAAAAAAAATTATTCGTGATATTATGGACTTTGACAAGTTTTTAACCAAAACAGATTTTATTAATTTGATAAATATGAATTTGAGATGATCATGGATTTTTACACACTTTATCCGAGCAAATTATTGTTTTGGTTGCGGATTTTCATTAAGCAAGGCCGGAACCAAACCTACACATTTTATAGTGACAGACAGACACGTTAAATTTCTGATAAATTTTGACTATATCTGGTGGCCACATTGAACATCTTTTGCCAAATACGATCATTACTAATACAATACTTTTGGTATTTAGTTTAAAGCCACTGAGAATTTTACTGAGATAGCCACTACTTATAATTCTATTTTACTAATAATTTATATAATTACCTATAAGTAAATACATAAGCATTGTTATTGTTGCTTTCGTTAATAAATAAAACCGATGTGATTTTACCATTTTATTTACATCTTTTACTTTAGAATATGAATCATCATCAACAACTGCTGTTAAACCACTAGGTCTACTTAATGTGCTTGGAGCAACATCATCTTTGTTCTTGAGCTTTGGATTCTGCACCGAGCTCAATTCTCTTGAGTTCAAAATTATATTTTGTACGGAACCAACACCCGTTTGACGAAATTTATCTTGTCGTGTAGAAATATTCAATCTAATATAATTGAACGGAAGGAGTGTAGTAGAGTATTCCTATTAAAAAGTTGAATAAGAGTAAAAAAATTACTAAAAATCGTGTACGAGTGCAATATATCACTTTTACACGATTGTCATGTAAAAGTAGTTTATGTGACTCTAATACAATTGATGACAGTGTAAAAGTCGTAAAAACGTTCTTAGGACGACTCGCCGTTATACCACTGAAATATTGTGTAATGGTCGTGTAAAGCAGTCGTATACAAGTGCATACGACGTTTTTATACGATTACGAGTTGTATAAGCATAAGGGGCTCAAAGTCGTATTATATGTAAAAATTACTTCAATATGATGTTTATAGCATTTTGGGCCGTATAAATCTCAATTAAGCGACGAAAATGTTTGTTGGGTAGTTATATGTAGGGACAACGAAATTATGAACTAATACTATTTATCTATTTTTAAATTTTGTCATTACAAGAAACCCGATGTAAGGTTACCACCGCTATGCTACGCTATGCTACGAATCTTTAATATAAAGTTTAGTGTCTTACTAAATTATCATCTACTTACCATAAGCACCGCAATTGGGCACACCATCACAAGCAGTCATTGAATCAATGCATACCCTAGTTCCAGATACTTGGCATTCAAGATGATCCTCCGTACACCTAATGTCTCCATTTAGCATGATACGCGCTGGTGTTATCACCACTGTCATGCGTTGCATCTAAAACATCAGTATGATGTATCCTTATGTATATCATATTACAAACTATAAAATTTTGTCTATCCATCTGTTTGTTATCTCTTCATGAATAAACGGAATAAATTTGATTGACATATTAGACAGGTTGGAATTTATGAAATAATAATAATTTATATCTAAATAACGATTATCAATTTAACAAAAAAATACAAGATAATATGCATTAACCACAATTCATCTAACTAATCAACTATGACTATTTGAAAGTGCTTAAATTAACTTTTATGTAATTTGAATAAAGGTTTTCCAGTCTATTCTATTTAACATAGTAACCTACTTACATAAGAATATTTTAACAAAAGAATTAAACATGTAGGTACACGAAACGAATACATTTTTTAAGTTTTAAAGTTTCAAAATAATGGCCCTATCATAAAATACAGAATACATAGTAATATTCTTTTAGTCTTACAGATTAATAGCTGTCCCGGCAAATGTTGTTTTGCCTTAAAATAAAATAAAAATTTAGGGGTAGTCTACCCCTAACATTTAGGGGGATGAAAAATAGATGTTGGTCGATTTTCAGACCTACTCAATACGCTCACAAAATTTCATGAGAATCGGTCAAGCCGTTTCGGAGGAGTATGGGAACGAAAACTGTGACACGAGAATTTTATATATAAGATATACCTAATATATATATAATTTTATTATAATTATATTATAATTGGTAATCAATTGAACTAACTGTGAAGTTCCTAATAGCTATCACAATTCTGGAGGAGTTGAACAGGTATACATGTCGCGCCTTTGGCTCGTGGTAATCGCATATATTGAACAGCGACCGCCCCACGTAGTGCCGCATGTAGCGAAGTGCTACGCGATCTTGGATCTACGGACGTAATGTATATATTTATTTACATTTATATAAAACTAGATAATCCCGCAAATGTTTTGCCATATAAATTAAAATCGCCATTAAAAATAGGGGTTGGTGATAGAAGGGTGAAAATCAAGGGTTGTATGTATTTTTAATGCCTCATATATATATAAATATAAAAACTTTGTCAAATAAATAAATAATAAATGTTAGGGTTTACCCTTACCACTTATAACAAATAGGTAGTAGCCGATTCTCAGACCTACTGAATATGCATATAAAAGTTCATAAATATCGGTCAAGCCGTTTCGTAGGAGTATGGTAACTAAGATTGTGATACGAGAATTTTACATATTAGATAAATAACCCTGGACAATTAACACAGCGCCATCTATTCCCACGGTAAGTAGAGCTTGTGTTATGGGTACTAGACAACTATTATATATAAATACAAATACATATATAATATGCATAAAAAACCAGACAGATACAAACAATCGTATTCATGAATACAAATGATTGCACCGTGCGAGGAATCGAACCCACGACCATCGGAAGTCAAACGGTGTAGCTATACCATTAGACCACCGACGCCGTTAGATATGTATGTAACTTAAAATTGTATGAATATGCGAATTTTATCCGTTTTAAAGTGTGTGAGTAAACTTCACAGCTCTATGCACTTATTACTCATTTAATCACTATTTGAGAAATACATTATTCTAAATAGACATACTTAGGCAGAAATATTAGAAACATAATTATAACAATGTATAAAGCACTCAGTGCTGTGCAATCGTGGATATATTGTGAAAAGTTTTCTTCATTGAATGGTAAATTCTACATTTAACATTTAATGAAGAAGCAACCATTTCATGAAACTGTTCTATTTCATTTAAGCTTAATGTCTCAACTTAATAAAATGATTAAATACAACTTTTAATTACGATATTAATCAATCATTGTTAAACTTTTACTACACTTATTCCTCGAATATCGTATTTTCTTATTATTATATCAAGCTTTAGTTGATGATGAACACATACGTAGCGGTTTCGACAGACAATGACATAGAGTACTTTTTATTTCTGTTAATTATTAGTATGTCCCACTTATTCAGTGATCACGATCAATCCGAATAGCCTGTGCCGATTATGCAGTTTAATTGGCGCATTTCCTAAGATTGCATGACACAGAAGCCGTTCGCTCTTAGAACGTTAAATTGTTATAATAATAATAATGAACTAATACTTTTGTAACAAAAGCATATACCAATCCTTTGGACCTTGTGGTAGTAGTTGTTCTTTAAAGATGAGACTAGTAGTATTAAAATTAGGTAACTTAAACATAACGTACATGGTCATCTTGTAACTCAACCAGCTGTGCGAATTTCTGAACATCGGAGAATTCGTACTGAGTGGACGGTGTGGAAATCGTATGAGTTCTAGTCGACCGATTATGGGGCCGGGCCTGTTCTATATCAATAGCTTGAATGTGTCTAATATTGCGTACTTTAACTCTAGAAAAACCATAGATATATTTAATTATTTAGAATAAAAGTCTTTTATGTGCTGCTTTACTTTTCTAACAGTGCTTATCAATAATTATGTCTCTAGTCTTTTCTTTCTTTATTCTTATGGGCATATTAATAACATAATTATTATAAAACAATAACATTATCTAAATTATGTAGGTATTTGCTATTCTATTCATTTGGTCGTATTACCATATTACATTATGTTTATGTACTTATACGCCTTTAAATTATATAAAAGCAACCAACAAAATCAGCGAAGATAGTAACGGTATAAAGCTATTCGTTGTTATGTCTAAAGTATCCCTAAATCAGACTTTCAATGACCAGGAGGTTATTTCGAAAAAAGTAAGCATTTTCAATTTTTTTTAATATGTACAGAATCCGAATTGAATTGAATTTCGAATGTGTAGAATAATAAAAGAATGTGTATGAACCTAAAAAAAATAAGTAAAATTAAGTTTGCTTCACTGGATACAAAATTATTTATAAATCAATCTATCATATTCATATTTTTGTGTGAAATTGTGCAAGTAGTCATTAAATTAATTATTATTAAGATTAAATTTTAGGTCAATTTAAAGTAAGAATTTTTAGGTTAGAACAGTATATGTAGGTATGTATGTAGTTTATATAAAATATTGTTATGCTGTAATTTAGTCTGTAGTTTTATTATTTTTAAATGGGTAAATTTAATTAACAAGTACTAAGTAAGATAAAGTGCCCGTTAGAGAAACTACTTACTCGCTAGTAGATACTACACTGGGTTCTGTACTATTAATTCCTAGTTTACTACCCTTATCTAATACAGTTTTATTAAGGCGGACAGCCATGACAGGAGCTGCTTGCACTACGTTCTCCCACGACACATGATCCACCATAGATCCAGTTAATAGACTAGAACTGAAAAATATAAAGGCAAACACATTAATAGGCTACACATTACTTAGTTCTTATCAACTAGATCAAGTCTTCTAAAAAATATATTAAATCATACTTACTTTTCAGTCCGCTGAGAAACAGTATTAACATATTCAGTCTGTTTTGTTGTGTTTAAAATTGTTTCACTCCTACTGACAAGATTTGTCTGCATTGATCTACTTTTACCTGCATTGAATAAAGTATCTTTTATTTTTAATTAAGTATAATAATATAATGCTTACTGTAGTAATAGTAGTTTTTTTATAAGTCAATTATTTTAAGTTTATGTTATTTACAAGCGATATATAAGCAAATTCCATTAATGAACTCTTATTATTCTTATTATAATAAGAGTCTATAAATTATAGTAAGAGTTCATTAATGAAAATTGTTTCCAATGTATGTACCTACATCATATTTTTTTTATAATTATACCTGTAGCAGTAGAAGAATCAGTATAATGAAACTCCGTACTATTTGTAAGCAAATTCGAAGATGTTAATCCCTCAGTTTTTGAACTATTTAACATTGTGAAGTTTATAATTTGTATGTTTGAAATGGAGAATGGACCTGTGCTTGATATTATATTCAAATCGATAGCTTGAGGCGTTCTGCTGAAATTATCATGGGCACCTATGTACATATAATTAAATTATAAATCACTCAGATGGAGATTTCATTCTTCCGTATTAATGTATTGATATAAAATTGAATTATATATACTAACCTATTCATGATTGTTGTATGACTTTCATTGTTGAAAACGGTAGATGTTGTTTCATCTATATCAGTATTTACACCAATTTTTTTATTGAACAAAAGATATTTTTTACTGTGGTCTATTTTTGGATATCGGTATGCTGAAAAACGTACGTACCTATATAATATTAATATTGGACATACACATGTTTGTACAATATCGTATAAATAAAGCGATCATTACCGTTTAATATCATCATATTAAAGAAATGTAAACTTAATCCTTATAGCTTCAGTATTATTCTGTTCATTTGGAAAGAAACTTTATTTTGGTGCCAATAATACTGAGTAATAGAAATTAAATTGGACAGTTCTTTTTATATAAAAAAAGTATTTAAATCTAACTAGCAAAGAAATCTCAAGATAAGATCGCATATTTATTCAATCATTTGCCTAGTCCGGTATTAGTAGGCTAATATTTGATATTATTATATCTACGGAGAGAAATCTGAACCCTATCCTTGTAAAGTGGTTGAATATTTATTAAACTATTCCATATTCTATTAATGTTCTTATAAATGATAATACCTAGAGTCCATTAATATGAGAATCATAGATTATATAATAATGTGATATTTTTACTATATTTCCGTACAGATTTCAATCTACATGTTTTTTCGTAGTAAATTATTTATATATCTACCATAATAATATTTACTGACCACTGTATTTGTATTGCCCACTAGATATGAAACTAGTAAAGTTTTTAATTTTCACATTATAAAGTGGTAGTTTGTCTCTGATAGTTTCTCTAAAGTACTGATTTTCTATGTTCTTCCATAATTTGATATCATTTTCGAAACTTTGGTTGCGCGACTTCCCTTTATTAATATTCTTATTTAAATCTCCTGTAGAATGAGTTACAATATTTGTTTGATATTTTATAATAGGAACGTATGTATTTAATTGTCTTGTGATATCCATTATTGAAGTGCTCATTTTTTTTCTGTAAAATATAATAGAGACATAAGTTATGTTTATACTTTTAATTAACGGATCTTGCTTTAAATAATAAAATTTAATTACTTTAGTAAATTTTTCCTTGCCTTTGTGAAATGTGTTTTATTTCTGTTAAATTTTAGCCGTTTATTTGCATTGTATTTATATTTTGTAGCATATCTTCTTATATGATATGGATATGTTAATCTGCAGGTATGAATAATTTATGGTTAACTGTTTTATTATTAATTTGAGACCATTTAAATATTATATAAATAATTCATAAAGGGGATGATGACAAATACAATATCTACTTATTTGTGTAAATAGATATCTTAAATTTTTCGATATCATTATAAAATATTTTATTACTGTAATATATCTACATAATAAACAAATGTTTGAGCTATACGTAACAGTTGTTTTATTTCACTGATTTATAATACCTACTCCCAAAACATTACTAATTTTAGTAATAATATGTAAAAGTCGATGCAATGTTTCTATTTTCTACAAAAATATCTTCTTTACCGAGATAACCCTACATTGCGAGACTCGTATAGTTATCAGATTTCGCTGCGATTTCTTTGTTCTCTGAATATTTATTATATGTTCTTTTTCAAGACATAATAATCTAACCCATATTTTGTTTACAAGCACAAGTAAGTTACTAGTAAGAAGTAACTGAATCTACCTATAATCAGGTGTAAAAACGTTGTATTCCAGTTCGTAACGTGGAATTAAATTATCGACTTCTATTCGGCGACCATTTTTGTCCTTTTTTATTGCAAATTGTACCAAAGGTAATATGCTTGATTCATATCGGACGCCGGACCTGCACTTATTAGAATAGGATTATGTAAGACTAGGTGTACTCGCGACTTCGTCCGCGTGGAATTTAACTTTATTTTCCTAAAATAAAAGTAGCCTAAGTTACTCCTTACTTACATCAGCGACCTGGCAAAAATAGTCCGGTCAAAATCGGTCCAGCCATTTCAGAGATTAGCCGGAACAAATAGACAGTCAGACAGACAAAAATTGTAACAAATGTTATTTTGGTGTATGTACGGTTTTTATATTCATATGCATGTAGTAAAAAACGGTTATTTCAATATTACAAACGGACACTCCAATTTTATTTATATGTATAGATTTTAATAGCATTATCGAGTTATTTTTTTAATAAAAACATTTACGCAGCTAATTAATTAACTAGTATTTATACAAAATGTAGAATAAAGAGAGACCAGAAAAATATAGAAAGGGGAAAAATTTATAATGTGATTGTAAATAGTTATAACTCAAAACTAACTGCGTCCTTTATAAAACTATTTTGAAAATTCTTGTTCTATATAGGTAGCTCTAATAATCTAGAATTACTAGTTTATTTCTTTAGATTAAAAAGATCCAACTAAATTGATTAGTTTACATACTTTAGATACATAATTATAGAAAATATCTGTTAAATGTACCGAGGCGTTACATCAAAGATGAGGTCAAAATTTTCAACCTCATCAACACTCTTCAGCAATGGTGGATCACCAGGCACTAATTCTCCAGAAACGTTCACCAATGGAATCTCTACTGTAATATACTCCGAGATCTCGTCATTCTCTTTAACTTTCAGTTTTTCAGTTAATATTTCACAAGGTTTCTCTGAAGTTGTTTTTTCCTGTGTACTATAATAGAAACGAAATTGAACTAAGTATGTTTTCTAGTAACTTAAAGAAGAATATTTCTCTCTGGTTCTGTTCCAATTTTTAAAAAAAATTATGTATAATAGAACCAGATTACCTATAATATTTTTTTTCTCAGAGCATTAACTACAAGCTATAAGATATTATTGTAATGTATTTTACTGCCCCATCTTATTACGGATACATTCTTACGATATAAGGTCGAATCTATAAAGTAGGTACCCATGTCAATTTAAATCAAAGGGACGGCGGCAAGATCTTTCACGCAACATATGATTATATCTGGTTCAAAGTTGCTTAAAATAAACTTTTCTTTTTTACATACATACATTTAGAGCCAAATAACTTGGTAATACTTTAGTCCAATTAGTATAAATAGACTGAAATATCCATTATTTTTTATCAAATAAATCAATGCCTATTTATACGATACCTCGTCTTTGTGACAGTGGATTGAGTAGTTTTTAAAGTATATAACTGAATCCCAGTAGGTTTTGGACTCATGTATGTGTCAGGCAGGGGACCCCAATAACCGCCGAAAGTCTCACCCATTTCATATACCAGAAGTTGATTAGAATTCTCAGTACACGAACTTGTTAGGCTATCGTCGGATAAAAGCTGAATCACCAATATAATGCTGCTGCCAGATTCTGTTCTGTGAAAAGTATATAGGTATAAGTAAGTAGTTATCTTCTCTCAAGTCAATAGCAACCTAAACGAAAGGAGCTGACTGTTAGTAACAGAGACACAAGTGACCACTACTAAACATGTCATGTCACGTCATGTAAGTAGATATATGAATAATAAATAATGCTAACTAACTTACGAATAACGCCCGTGGTTGTCCAAATTAAACTCAGCTTATATTATTTAACTTATAGAACATATATGTGTAACTCTTACTATTACAATACTCATAGAAATCAATACACCACCATCGAAAATAAGGCAACTTTTAAGTTAAGTTTGGTGATAACGTACCTAATAGGTACGTTATCACCAAACTGCTTTTTATTGTCTAACCTGATTTTAATGTTTTTAGAAGGTAATATTACCTATTTTATTCCTTGAATTTCAGATAAAGTATGTAAATATATAAAAACAAAATTGTAGAAAGAAATAGTTTTCATGTTTAGGTATAGATACCAAAATGTGATGGGTGCGGCGAAAATAGATATTGCGAATGCTTTTGCTATGAGTGTGTTCTAATGTGACAAATGTCATTTGATTTCACACCTACAACTCACAGAGGCACTGCCTTAATAGATCTACTTATAATATAATATGTCCTAAATGACTACCAGCGCATAGCCAAAACTACTGAGAGTAGAAAGCTGTACTTTAGAATAAATACTTTCTATAATATTTTTCTTTCAAAAGTAGCATATAGGTACTTCTATGCCTATATATAATAATAATAGTAACTTCAGAGACTTGACATAGCGCCATCTAGTCCCAAACTAAGCAGAGCATGTGTTATGGTTACTAAACTTACACTTACACTATACAACTACGTCAATACTTTTTTTGTAAACACATACATAATACATATGGAAAACACCCAAACCTACACAAATCATAAGTACATATGAATATAAATATTTGTACTATGCGAAGAATCGGTTACCATCGGAATTAAGGCGATATACTAAACCGCTGGACCACCAAGGGCGGAATATAGATAGAGCTACATAACACATTTTTGAAGATATTATTTAAAGCTGTCGTCCGCGACTTTGTCGGCATAAATTGTCATGCCCTTCCAAATTATTTTTGAGATAAAAATATATGTCAATCTTCGTGATACCTACAATACTACTTGTGAAAGGTAACAAGTAGACAGAAAGACAGACACTTTCGCATTTATAATATTAAAATAACATGGATTAATGTACCTACGAGTAGGTAATTAATTATGATACCTGACGCTTATAGAACAGCTATAAGGTAGTTCCAACTTAGAAAAGTGAAGAATTTGCGAGTAGGCACCAACGACATGTCTACCGAGGAACACGGACGGCACGACACGACGGCGACAATGTTCCGATATGTCCTTCTGATACACGAACTTGCGGACCGCTAACGTTGATTCAGATTGCTTCACGCAAACCAACAATGTCATCAACATTTTTATTAGACCCGACATGATGGCTGTTGTTGATCATGGCCATACTGTTTTAATAAAATAAATTTTGCAATCTATCCGTCTGATATATCTATCGAAACTGAATTATGTTCTCTAACGAAAACCAAAATATGCAGATTGAATTCTTACTATGTACCTAAAGACATAAAATTTTTTATAGAATAGAATAGAAAATCATTTATTCAAATAAACTTAATTGAAGCATTTTTGAATAGTCATGGTTATCATTCTTTTAATCTACCGCTCATTCAGAAAGCTATTTCATCACTAGAAGAAGGAGCAAGAAACTTGCGTATTGCTCTTTTAAATAACCATTGTAACTTTACATTTCCAATTCGAAACGTTCGAATATTTTTTTGTTATCAACATAATGATAACGGGAAGCCGTTTACTGACGGAAGCCTTGACTGCTGCCACCACTGGGGTGTAAAAAAAGAAGCTAACGGCACAGTATGGTAAGTGGTACCCGTCGTCTTATCACATAAATATGTGACGGCTATAGTACCCCTTATGTATTTGCGTATTGCTTTTCCAGAGGTGCCAGATATTGTGCCTTCATATCCTGTAATTTTAATCATATCTCACTCTTAAATAGAAATATATATTAAATATAATTATGTATCTACTTACCTATACCTACTTATACGTATATCCAGGTAGGTAATTATATTTAGATATCTATGTGTAGTACCTACCTAATATTGTCCAGCAAATGAAAATAATTTTAATTGAACATTTTTGTAATTTAGGCTGGGTGAATTAATATAAATATATCTATAAAATATCAAGTATCTATAAAGTAGAAATGTAATTTAGATACGGATTACAAGACTTATCGTTATGTTCATTGCCTATGGTTATATGGTTATTTGTACTAAAAGACCCTATGTACTTACTTCATATCACTGTTGCATCAATTGCAAAGTGTAATAATAATATTGTAAATTATTAAACAATACAAAGACCGACTGCTGTTTGCGTGACATGACGGCATCACTCGGGAACAGTATAAAAGATAGGGGTCGCGTGACCCGCACCGCATAACACATCAAAGCTTTTTATTACCTAGATACTCTATGCGCGGTAATGTCCAGTCTCATTCATGGTACTTAGAGAAAAATCTTACACCTTTAATGAACCTAATGCTTCAGAGGATTAAGACCTAACTTACTAACCGTAACTTTAATATTTATTTATTGTTATATATTAAGTAGGTACCTATGGATGAAAATATTATTTATCTGTTTAAACTCTGTAACTAAAATTAAATCTATCTATTTATTGATCGAAACGGCGGATGTTGATCATTAATTTTAACATTACAATTAGATAAATATTTTAGTATATATTAGATAAAAAAAACTGTTACAACTAATGTACATAAACGTCTTTTATATTTGCTACTATAATTTTTAATAGCATAGAAGACAAACAAGCTTGCGGCACACTTATTACCGCCGACGATAAGCACCCGCAACACCAGAGGCAATTGCTATGTAAATTGCTGGCCTTATGAGAAGGGATGGGTAAAGAAAAGAATTAGAAAAGGCATAGAAAGAGAATGAGCATTCGGAAACATGACTCGCCGTGCGTAACGCTATAACATTTAAAGTAACATTTAAAATGCCGGTATTCTAAAGTATGCTATTAGGTATTTCCCATTTGTTATGTTTATCATGCGTGTTCATGATACAGCGTGCCCTAACATTTACTAAAATCAATCAAATAATTCATATTCATACATAATGTTAGATAGTTAGTTAAATTTCAATTAGATGTAATTTGATTTCAGACTGAGCAAGTAAACACTATGCAAAAATAAAAAATCCAATAACAACAGATATAATACATTATGATACATATAGACGAAAATTCTCTAAACATCTCTATTCTGTAAACAGTTTTCTACCTTGTTGCCGAGACGTTGAGCTCGTCCTTCCATTAGGTATATTTTTTTAGTACGGTTTTCCCATTTCAAGTAAAGGCAAAAGGCCATTGTCTTCCTCTCTTCATCCATTATTAGTGACATAGTGATAAGACAGTTGACGTTTCATGAAGTATTCTGACGTGAATGAATAACTGACATTTGAAATGTCTTTATCATATGTTGTCTCATTTCGTAATAAGGCAAATGCGATGAATCTATTTCAAATTCCATTAAATTTTGTAATCGTACTTAATTTTTCTATTAATAAATTAAATGTTTAAAGTCGTCCTCTTTCTATCGACTCAATAAATATATAATTATGACTATTGTCGAGTACATGGCATCGTTGGCCCAAAATCCCTATTTTGGTGCCGGATTTGGCTTATTTGGTGTTGGCGCGGGTGCGGCTATATTACGCAAAGGTTTTCAGACTTCTATGATTTTATTCCGCAGACATTGTATGATAACTCTTGAAGTTCCTTGTCGCGACAAATCATACCAATGGTTGCTACAGTGGATCACACAAAAAGGTGCCAAGCAAACCCAACACTTAAGTGTGGAGACGTCATTCTTACAAAAAGATACTGGACAAATTAAAACCAAATATGACTTTATACCCAGTGTTGGACAACATTTTTTCAGGCAAGATATTTAATAAATCTAAAAAAAAGAGTATAGAAATAATTTATTTAACAAATATTTTTGTAATTATAGAAAAACAATCTACCTTAATTGCCAAACAATATATACATAGTTACTCATAATATAATAATAGTAATAATACCAGGACAATTCACACAGCGCCATCTAGACCCAAGTTAAGCTAGCTATAGCTTGTATAGATATGGGTACTAGATAACTGATACAAATACATGATTTTTTAAAATTAAATACATATTATAAATAGAAAACACCCAGATCAATACAAACAATCATACAAATGTTTGTGCCATGCAAGGAATTTTAACCCGCAACCATCGGAAGTAAAATGGTTCTAAACCACTAGATCATAGAGGCATCTAAATATAAGAATCATAAAGTTTTTATGAGTTGAATAAATGTATGTTTATTACTATTTCATGTAAATAGTACTGTATGTATTAAAATAAAATCCAACTTGCATTGGCAATATTGCACTATATAGTTACTCTTTAAAAATTTTTTATAGTTTTAGCTTCATATATATATGTATAAGTTTAGTTGTAATGAGTAAACCAAGCAGAAAGGCAATGATATTTCTTTTTATACATATAAAATCATAAAAAGAACTATTCTGCCTTTGCTATTAAGCCCTTTTATTTCAACGCCCGATTGAATTCAATGCCTCCTTACTAAATGTAATAATGTATGAACAACATTTTAGGTATGCTGGGACATGGATAAAAGTAGACCGAACTCGGGAACAACATACACTTGACTTGCACATGGGTGTACCATGGGAAACAGTCACTTTAACTGCTTTTGGACGTAATAAACAACTGTACTATAATATACTTGAAGAAGGTAAGTATTTTAATGTGATGATAATACTATGTAACCTAATATTTTATCTCTGAATGTTGACATTACACATAATATAATTATATAATATGTTAATCGAACTTTAATAACAATAAAAAAACCAAAGTATATAATTTTTTTTAATGTAGTCAATTTTAGAGAGAATTTTAGAGCTTGCCTAGTGCTAGCCTAAATTAGGTTGTTAAAAAATATTATTATAACCAATGAAAATTATTTGTAACAAATATATGTTTATTTTATTAGGTTTATATAAAATGATACCTACATAAATATATAAAGTACAAAGGAGTATTTTTTTTAAACTAATTGTTTTAAAAAACATACACAATTGTACAAGAATTTATTAACCATTTCGTTTACATAATTTTATAAAATTTTATGTTCTAGAAGGTTCATTATGTAATCTAAATTTAAAATTTAATGCTCCAATGTTACCCTCTTACTGTCTACTACAAAATTTACCTTCAAATTTTTATCTGATTAATACTTTTATTCCAGCTCGCACTATGGCTTTAAAACAACATGAGGGTATGACTGTAATGTACACAGCAATGGGATCTGAATGGCGACCATTCGGACATCCGCGGCGGCGTCGTCCCTTACACAGTGTCGTACTTCGTTCTGGCCTGGCGGAACACATCCTAGCAGACTGTTTAGACTTTATTAACAATCCACAATGGTATACAGATCGTGGCATTCCATACAGGAGAGGTATTTAAGTAATCTATGTTTAAACAGTATTTTAACTGCAACCTAGACAATTTTTTTTCTGTATTACTGGATTAGCTAACAACCTCTATCATTAACTATGGAAATAACGTTTTTATATGACTTGTATCCTCAATATGTCGCTAACACTGAGGTAATGACTGTTTATCTTGTAATTTCAATACCACAGTCAATAGAAATTCATTTGATAGATAAAATCACGCAGACAACTTTGTACAAAGACTACATATACAGTAAAAAAATGTTAAGAAATTTACACATTTAATTCTTGATTTTCTTGACGTGATTACTTTACAATACTGGGTTTCTAACCCAATAATATTTTGATGTAGCATCATACCTACCTACCAAATTTTTTTTTTAGGTTATCTATTGTATGGCCCTCCAGGCTGTGGCAAGTCATCCTATATAATGGCGCTAGCTGGTGAATTAGAATACAACATTTGTGTACTGAACTTATCTGAAAGAGGTCTTACAGATGATAGACTCAATCACCTACTCAGGTAAAAAGTTTGCCCATGTTCAGTAGTCCTGCTTTAGAGTATCTACATCCATTCTATGAGGCAATTTTGACAATATTTAAACCTCGGAGGAGCCTTGGCGAGATGGCCTGAGAGTTGTACTCAACTCCTCCCCTTCTCCCTTAATGTCTGTGGCTGAGAATTTTCAGCCAATTTATATTTCCCGATACCACCTCTCTCCCCTGCGTGAGATTCAGCTCTACCTCTTCCACATCAGATAATTAATGTATGTAATTAACATTCTCTGACTGGCAAAAATGTCCAGTATAAAAACTAATATCGGAAAAAATTAGTATTCAGTGCTTCTTGGGAAATTTCAATCAGCCTTATGAAATGTCTTAAGAATTGTTTAAAATGATGTTATTCCGTATATATTATTTTATAGATTACTCTACTATATAATAAATAATTTTACTTATGAATAACCATAAAAGGCTTTAATATTTCAACGGTATTCAGAGATACGTGAAGAATAGAAATGAAATTGCAGTGTAGCGCCTCAGCAGTCTATCATACTTCTTGAAGATATAGACGCAGCATTTGCATCACGAGAAGACACACCAAAACAAAAGGCGGCGTACGAAGGGCTCAATCGTGTCACATTTAGTGGATTGCTGAATTGCCTCGACGGTGTCGCCTCTACCGAGGCGCGCATAGTGTTTATGACTACCAACTACTTAGAAAGGTTTGTTATTGCATAGACTCATTCAATCAGCAAGTTAAATTAAATTTATTAAATTATTATCTGATCTCGCAATCTCATACACGCGTAACTGATACACCATACCCAAAAAAAAGTATTGAAATAACAGACAAAGAAATAAAAAAACTAAGACACGTTTAAGTTTTCTTATGTATATAAATACATACACCTACTCCATATATGTAGAAATGATCTGTGTAAACAAAAATAAATCTGATAAGTTATAATAATGGGATTAATAATATATTATATTTACATGGATCAGTTATATATAGGGTAGTCACACCTACTAATAGATGTAGATGCACATGAATATACTAATTAGATACTTTGAGCGTTATGTAATGATATACATATCTACATGTTTGAAATAAAGATATATCCTAATCAAAAAGTTATAACTTATATTTAGCTGCAAAAATAATTAAAAATAAATAAAATAATATTCGTAGGAAAAATATGCATAGCAACTAAGTACTCAACTACAAGACAATACTTTGGACGACAAAGATTTAGGAAAAAGATAAGTAATTGGCAATAACACACATATGACACTACTTATTATTGCTGATTACTGTATGTATATATATATTATAGGAGACAATTATATTTTATTTCAGGTTAGACCCTGCCCTAATTAGACCAGGAAGAGTAGACATGAAGGAATATGTAGGATACTGTGACCAAGAACAAGTAGAACTTATGTTTTTAAGATTTTACAAAGCACCAGAACACGCTAGGTCTTTCGCTAAAATGTAAGTATGGAGATTTTTTATAAAGCATAAACCTAGTGAACTGAGTGTTACAAACTGTTCTTCAACTTACTCGACTTTACTATCGCCCAAGAATAATATTAAAATGTATACTTTATTTCTCTAGTGCTATCGATCTTTTTTTTATGACAATTCACAATAAGAAAATAATTATTATTATTTATATTGATAATTTGTTGTATAGGGTACTTGAACAGAAGAAAGATGTCAGTCCAGCGCAGATACAAGGCTACTTCATGTTTCACAAGCACTCACCACCGGAAAACGTTTTAGCTGACGTTGAAACAATATGGAAACTTGGATAACTGATCTGTGATAAAATAAATTTAAGCAATTCCTACAATAAATAAAAATGCATATTTGCCAGTGTTATATTTATTAACATTAAATGAATTAAAGAAAACTTAAACTCTATCATTAACAAATTAACAGTATATCCCTAATTTAACGTAGTGTAATGTAATATACAAAATATTTAAGATTATAATCTAATAGTAAAAAAATAACTTCAAAATTACACATGTTACAAGGAAAGAATGTATGAATATGTCACAATATGTACGATGTATTACCACTGTCCTTTTCATCCTTAAAATTACGTAAAGACTAGGCGAAGAAAGAATGAGTATCGCACCCACGCCAGCTAAGATGAGGAAAATTTAAAACAAAACCCTATACCAGAGTCAGCACTGGTGTAGAGTAATACCGTCAGAACTCTTATTTCAGTAAAACGCCCGTCGAATGGAAAGCTTATTACAATAAATGGTGATATTTCTATCCAGATAAAATATTCGACAAAACAAAATATTCTTTTAACTAATAAAGTTCCACTTAATAGCTAGCTTTATAATAAGAGCTAATCAGTCATTATGCCAGTTTTTGGTATTAAATGTGTCGAAATTTTAATGAGGCTATGTAATATATGTAATTAACTTACTATTTAATACATTCAGTAAAATATAAAACCACGTATCACGTAGGTCTATTAGATACATATAGTTATAATAAGTAAAGTACGTTGAGACGAGAACTGATAGAAAACTCGACTAAATACAATTCTTATACAAATTAATATTTGGATGAACACTGTAACAATATATGAACATAAAAATTAAATCATAACAATGAGTAAGCCAAACCGTCAACTTTTTTATTATAAGAGACAGTAGCTAAAAATATGCGTATGTCTGTTAATCAATCACGCTTTACCAGGTAAACGATTTGAATAAATACCCAAAATTGTTTGTAATACAATGCAAGGCATGCAGCTATTATTTACGTAAAAAAAATTATAGATTTGTCATTCTGGAAAATATTCAATATAGCCTATAGCGAATATTTAATACAGGATGTCGATAAACACTAAATTTTATTACACAAAAATTTTCCTTGATGTCGCTGGCTTATTTACCCTAAGGCCTCCGCTGAGAATCAGCTCCTAGCTTCGGCTGCAGCAATACGCTGAGCAGTCCTTTTTAGCAAATATTCTTTAGTAGTATATCGGTTTTTAATTGTTTTATTATGTGGTGTAGCTGTGTTCATGTATATGTACATATATACAGTGGCGGACAGGGAAATCGCCCGGGGACTCGCGTAACAACTAAAGTAAGGTTTTAACAACCAGTGAGTCACATTTTGCCTAATGAAAGCTGCAAAAACTTCCCGATTTAGACATTTAATCGCAAATGAACAAAATTACCAACACTAAAATATATACAAATAAAATAAAATGGAAAAACAAATCTAAAATAAGGCATTATGCAAAATCACTGGGGTAATCGAGTTCTCATCCATAAGTATAGAATAGCGTTGGAATCAACTAATTCGCATCACATACTTTTCACGAAGGACAAAGGGCGTCGCAAAGACCTGCTGCTCGCAATATGTAAGGCCGCCGCTACATATTAATGTATGCTAACGTCAACAATATTTGCTAAAAGTATACTATAATTATCTTGTACTACTCTATATCTCATACTAACTACATACAAGATGTGTTGTATACAAGAGTATTATAACTTCACTTCACTTATAGATTTTGAAATAAATAATTTATACAAAGTCCTATACTCTGCATGTATATATAAGTAATGTAATATATAATAGGTTATTCATATATATATGTATATGAAAAACCTATTTCTGTCGTCAAGCAACTTCGCAAGCCGTGAAATCATGCGATACCCCTTGTATGGTATAACTTCATGACCCTAGTCACATGTGCTGTTCATGTCTACAGGCAATGTTTACACTTTCAGTTAGGTTTCTTTCATTCAAGTTAATTTTTTTATGCATGCATGTACGTATGTTTTGAATGTACTTAGTTTTTTATTAATTATTAGTAGACATAACTCGTGATAACACGAGTGTGTGTGTGAGTGAGTGAATTATAACTTTGTAATAATCTTAAATATTGGCATCTTTTCATGCCAAAGTTACTACTGGTTTCAGCATTAATCAGTTAACGATTAAAAGAAAAGCCGATCTGCTTTATAAATACTTCTCAGAATATTTCCATAAAATAAGGTATTTAAAAACCATCGAATCACGGATTGTATTGAAATGCAGTTATCCAGCGAATGATCTGAAATATTTTACAACGAAATAAAAAGTGTTAAGAAGAATATCTTAACAGCATTATACAAACAATAAATACTCTTCATGATAAATCTTTTTTTAAATTAATAGACTTTAAGAGACACAAAAATCTCTTAGTTGTTTCGTGCATTTCAGCACTAATTTTTTGAGAGTTCAATAAAATTTTCTTAACAACATCTCCTTGATATATTTTAATTATCTCCCATTGCCAATTAGCAGATATTCTAACCATATCAATGTGCATTCGGCCACCATCTTTTATGTCAATATAAAAAATATTTTCTAAACAATGCAACGACAAGCATAAAACAACTGGTTTTACATTTTCTTGTTTAAAAACTACTTTAAATTTTATTAAACAACTAAAATGTTGATTTATTTCATCTCTTGAATCTAATAGCAAAATATTATGCATTTGAAGTAAATTTTTAAAATATATAAAAGGAGAATCTGTTTTTGTATTAGGCATTTCGACTGTATCCAAAATAATATAGTCATTAATATTTTTGAACCTGTCATCAAAAGCATTTTCTGTCGGCGATATATTTGTATTTGGCATTTGTAACATAGAAACAGGCTGAGCTATATTCACAGTCTGTGCATTTACTACATTTAAAAGATAAACATTATCAATGTTCTCATAAGGTTTAACATTCCCAACGTTTTGATTGGTACAATTTTGAAAATTCTCGTTCAAGTGCCAAGATATATTTCCCACTATGTTTTGTTGAGTATTATGTGTTACATTGGTAGGCATCAATTCTGATACTGGCTTTACCTTTATTCTAGGTGCCGACGTTTGTTTATAATTATTATTTGATGATATATTAGATTCTGAATTATTTAAAGCAGATTTGTCCAATTTATTATCTTCTTTGAAAGCTAGTGATGTTGTAGACGTAATCACAGGCATGCACAAATTATCCTCAGGTATTTCATCGTCTAATTCTATATAAATATTATCATCTTTATTCTCATTTCGTACGTTCTCTATTACATTCACATTTGCTTTATTATCAACAGCTGTTATTTTCTTCGGTAATTGTTTTGGATTAGCAACAGGACTAGCGTTGAGTAACTTACTGGTTGAATTGCCTTCAATATCAGAATTTGTTGTATACAAAATGGCTTGATTTCCTACTTGTGTTGTTAAACAAACTTGATCTTCAGATTGTTGTACCGAACTCTTTGTCGTGGTTATTGGGATAAGTGGAGGTGGCGTAGTTTGAAGTTTTGAAGATTCAACTGTCATTTCATTAGCTTCATTCACCCAACCAAAATCAACATCATTATCCTTCTGAATTTCTTTCATTTTTGTTAAAATTCTAGCATAAGTCGTGGCTGATCCTTTTGGTAGCCAAGATATATCTAGATTTTGATGCTCCAGAAATCTTAATATTCCAGTACAATTTAATCCTTGTTTATTTATTATTTTACGTCCTATACTTAAAATTTTATGTTGTAGTTGGGATTTTAATTCAGATTTTTTACTATTTTGCGTAACTCTTTGTGTATATTTATTATAACATATTTCTATAATATTCTGTATTACTTTATAATCATCACTTTGTTTCCTATTAATAATATTAGAAACAACATTACTGCATTCTGATTTACTTTCTGAAGTTTCAGAATCTATATTGATACATGCTTCTGTACAATTCTTTGAATTAGAAATCTTATTTTTTTCGTCCTCAAAATCGGATGACGAACTGTTATCAGCAGATTTATTGGGTATGACTACAGTTTCATTTGATTCGCTTCTTGAGAGTAATCTAAGTGGTCTTCTATTTTTACGCTTTACATAAACTTCATTATCTGATTCAGAATCCGAGCTGTTAATACAATTAGAAAAATTATTAGCAGTATATATGACGTAATAATTGATGTCATTTTCTTGTTGTATAAATTTACTGCGGCTATATTGTATTTTATTTGTATTTGCTCCATTACGATGATCATTAATCTTATTTAATGTTACTACACAAAAATATTTGAACATCTCTGGATACTTTTTTTTTACTTTAGAGTGACATGTTAATGAATGTTTTAAAACAAATAATTTCTTGGAATAAGATGAAGAACAAAATTTGCACACAAATCTTTTCTTATAATGTTTGTTCAAAAAGGTCGAATCAATATTATTCAACTCTTTTTGTGGCTTACAGATCTTTGAATTAGAGTCATCTGAATCTACGCCATTTACGGAATTACTGGCAGAAGATACTGTGTAACTTCTCTTTCGTTTCTGTGGCTTAGAGAGTGCTGTATTTTCTACTTCTTTTACGGGTTTTAAATTAATGCCTGGACTTTGTGAAATCTTCTCCTCTTGACTTTTCGAAGAAATAGTGTTACTACCTTGTAATGGCGTCTCTTGCGACGACGTTTCTTGTACAGATGCATCCTTTTCCTATAAATAGTTTAATTACACATAAATGTTCTAGATAAATGTTCAATTATGCATATGCATGAATCCAACAGAATTTTACTTACATTTCTCAAGAGTACTTTAACTTTTAAAGAATTTTGTTTTTCTAGAAAGGAATTCTTTACTTTGTAGAAAGTACTCAAAACAGCTTCACATTTCTTACATATCAATTGTGGTAATCCGTCAAAGGGTGCTACCTGAAATAATAAAACTCACATTGTAGTAGCTACTGGTAACCAAGTTTTACTATGAGTGAACATAAAATTAAATCTGCGCAAGACTGAACATTCAATCGTTGTTCAATTCAGAATATCCAAAAAAATATATAATGTTTTTCCCAAAATAAGCAGTCTTTCTTTAATGACGGAATTAATAAGAGAGCCATTTCATTGTAAAACAGATGCCAGATAGGTAACTGGCGATGATAAATGGCTTATGGAGAGGTTAGAGGCCGACGCCTACCTGATAGATAAGATTAGTCTCAGATCCGATTGTTTATATACATACTTAGTTTTAACTATTGTCGTTGTGGATGAGAGTAATGATGATGTCGACGATGATATAGGACAGACGGTAGTGCAGTGCAAAAAGTAAACATTCCTTATACCCATTATACTGAATTGCGGGTAAACCACAAATCAGGGGCCATAAGGTTGTCTTATAAAATGAAATGAAACTTATACCAATTTGCGAGGAATGTGTTGTAGAGTGATACCCATAAACTTCTTATTCTTTATATTCCGCCTTATGTCAAGACATGGAAATTTTATATTATTATTATACTTCTGTAAATAATTACATAATTCCAGATAGCATATTTATATTTATACACTTTAAAAATCATTCTATATTATTGTTCAGTTTTATATGTCAATTATATTCGATTAGCGCGCCAGTTCGCGCTAGTCAGCCATAAGTTACGTGCTACACTTGAGCATTATAAGAGCATAATTTCGCTTAGTATTACTAAACATATATCAAAAGGTGGGATCAGGAAGTACTACGACACATTGTTTTCATTAAAATTAAAAATGTATTATCTTACTAATAGTATAAACGCGAAAGTTTGTTAATATGAAGGCTTGTTACTTTTTCACGCAAAAACTATTGAACGGATTTTAATGAAACTTTACAATAATATACCTTATACATCAGAATAACACATAAGCTACAAATTTCATACGGGTGAAACCGCAGTCACACCTAGTAAGAACTGAAATTATACAAGATAAAAAAATATACATCATCATTACATAGTATAAAATAAAGTCGCTGCCGCTGTTTGTCCTATGTATGCTTAAATATTTAAAAACTACCCAACGGATTTTGAAGCGGTTTTTTTAATAGATAAGAGTGATTCTTGAGGAAAGTTTATATAAATAATACACCTGTGCGAAACCGGGGCGAGTAGCTAGTAATTAATAAGTCATAAGGTTTATTTTTATTTAATGCCGTATGATGTTAATGAATAAAAAATATAAAAAATTGTACATATATTTGATAGACCACTGGTTATACAAATCAACGGACCAACAAAACACTTCCAACAACTACTGTTTAGTTTAGAACGTAATTATGAACCAGATAAAGCAGAAAATATACAATTTTAAAGTGACGGTGTTGTCTGCTAACATATTAATGTAGCATCATCATCTTAATCTTTTATTGTTAATTCTTCATCGTATTTGTACTAATTTGACCATAAGGCAATCTAGTACTGCTAATTAAGAAACAAAAGATGATAATAATAATAATATACATCATATTAATCACGATGATCATATTTATACGTGCGTGACGATGATCATATGTATAAATGCATAAGTGACGAAGTCACCATGAACACCATAGAGTCATATCAGTAGTATCAGTGAAAAGTTTCATATATGTTACTAGCTATCACAAGGACAAAAGAAAGAGTCAAAATTATCAAACTGTTGTGTCATTATATATAAGTGATTCCTATGAGGTGCTATAATGGACATAAATGGGGGGAAAGGGGATTGTTAGTAATATGGACTGATGATCTTATTGCTAGCAATGTACCAAGTCAGGTTGACCTCCACGCGGTTCCCCCTGGAAACCATCGTGATAAATTCTTGTCGAATTTGTCACAATGGGCTAACTGACCTGACTTCATCCTCATTTTATCATTCTTCACTGGTGCTCCGCCAGCGTAAACCGTTAGTGCAGGCGTGTGCACCATTCCATTATCATCCATGAAAAATAAATTGACATAAATGACAACAACATAATAACCTTTGTAAACAAAAACAAGCAGACGCTACAAAATGAATACTAATTAGTAGCTAAATGATTCAGTCTGTGCTACCTTACTTCATTTAGATGTGTTTATAATTATGTAAATGATTTACGAGTTGAGCAGTTATTATACAAATAGCCCAGTGGTTGAAATTAGACCATAATTAATTTAAATTATCGGTTTATACTTTATTAAGGATCTATTGTGAAAGACTATAGACAAATAATATTACAAGATAAACAATATTAATCTATTCTCAATTTGACCACAGAATTTAACAATAAATAGAATCTTTATTGATTTTGTGTATTTTTAGGCCTCTATAAAAAGGGGTACAGTGTTTTTCCTTCATGTCTTAATTATATGACTATCACAGGATAATTCATATACTACCCTCTATTCCCAAGTTAAGCAGAGCTTATGTTATGTTTACTAGAAAAATTATAGAATTTATATATATTGTAAATATAAATATAGAAAACATATAATAAAGAAAACACTCAATATATAAAACACTCCGATCAATAGAAACACTCACACTCATGAATACCTATTGATACAATGTGAGAAAATAAACCCATTCTCATCAGAAGCAATTAGTGTGACGAACTGCTAGACCACAGAAGCTATCAGACTGAACATGTCTTACCCTATGTTAACCAACAAGCTATACCTAATTAAATACCATATTGTATTATTTATATTACTATTAACATTATTTAAGGACATAAGGGGTGTGATAATACCATTATCACACTCTTAAATAAGTACTGATGATAAGGAAGTTTACCATATATCACAAGTCTCTCAAATTATTAAGATACCTAAATTGGGTAATTCTCCATATGACATCACATCCTATCAATTAGCCTTTTGCCAGTGGTGTTAAAGCTTTTTGAGAAAGCACTCCTAGAACGTTTGACACAAAGTCTCTCTGAAAAATTAGTAAAACAAGACCACCAATTTGGTTTCAGAAAGAAATACTCGACAATAGAGAAAGTTCATAGAGTGTGCAAGGTTGTTCGAGATATGTTTGAACGTAAAGAGCATTTCACTCCACAGCATTTATAGATGTACAACAAGCATTTGATAAAGTCTGGCATGAAGGCCAGAATCTATAAGATCAAGAACCATATAATCTATATAGGCTAATAGTCTTATCTTAGAGAAAGGATCTTCCAAGTAAAGGAGAATGAGTACACCTCAGCATTTTACGAAATTTTGGCCACAAGGCTCCATACTTGGCCCACTACTATATAGCATCTTCACAGCAGATATTCCTTTGCAGATGATACGGTCATCTTAACTTGTAGTAAGAATCAAGTAGAAGCTACAGATCTGTTACAAAATGCTCTCACAAAGATTGGTATGTGGTTAAACCAATGGAAAATTAAATTTAGTGCCTCAAAATCAGTCCACATAACTTTCACCCTCACAAAAGGCAACTATCCATCTGTGATGATGGTTTCGAGTATGCATCTTGATCGTTGACTCACTTGGTCTAAGCACATCCAAGTCAAAAGAGATGAGATTAATATCAAATACCGAAAAATGCAATGGCTGTTTGGAAGAAACTCAAAGCTGTCTACTGACAAATAGGTTGCTCATATACAAGACAATCCTCAAGTCAATCTAGATGTATGGGCTCCAGCTGTGGGGTTCTGCAAGTGTTACCAACATCAATAAAATTCAGAGAGCTCAAAACTACATATTGTAGCAAACCTTCCGTAACTTGGAGGTTCATCAGCACCTGGGGATCAACTCTGTCAAGGAGGAAATCTCACAAACAATAAAAAAATATAAAATCAAGTTGGAAAACTTGCTGTTCAACTGACATTGACTGATCATATGGCACATCTTAAGAGATGTAAAATACCAGACTTCAACAACCTGGCATCAGCTGGAATATCTGAAGCTGAATTCTCACTGAAGAATCACCTCTCATGAGATTTGATAATCAACTAATCTGCTTATAGTCTGGAAGACAGATTGCAAGAATAAAATAGAAAATGTGCAGATATTTTTAATTTATAATCTGTATTACAGTCTGTGTCCCACCATATCTTCCCTTGGGTTGTTAGCTTGTTTGTCATTTGAAATACCACCATAAAAAACCACATAAGAATAGGTAAAACTCACCTCAATGTCAAAGCAAAATTTTATTTGTTTTTGTACTACTGGGACTATCTGATAAAGCCCCATATCCTCCAAACATAAACGACAGGTAACAAACAGTTTTGGATCAACTGCAACTTTATCCATTGTTCAGTCTACTTTTTCTGTAAAGTAATTTATGATAAATATTAATTAGAATAATATTAAAATTTTACTTATTTTGTGGTATTATCCTAATAAGCTTTTGTTAATTTTCTACTGATAATTAAGTAAAATCTGTATTAGATAAGAACCAACATGCATATATAAAATCTGCTGTTCCAATGTGGGTATGTTCCAACATATATGCTGTCTAAATGTTATTATTGTACACAGCATACAGATAGGAGAAATCTGTGTCTCTGTCTGATAGGTACAGTCATGTATATAATACGCAACAATTAAATTCGTCGTAAGGTTATTATTGATAATTATCCTAATAGTTTTGAAGCTTTGAATATTGATGTGATAGTGTTAGTTAACATAGAAGTGTACTATGTTAACTAACATGACTACCTAGTATACTTTAACCACAAATAAATCTGACAACATTCAATATACAAACCCGCCAAATATTTATCACCATTTGTTCAAAACAATTGTCAGTTATTTATGCACTAACAATACTTACACATCTATAAAGTTTACGTCAAGGCTGATAAAGAATAGGTTATTATTATTGAAACATATATTCTATTATTATATCGCTTTATTCTACATTAATTTGAACTTTTTAAAATTCACAACTAAATTACGTGGCTAAGTTGGAAAATTTTAAAACTAACAAAAAAATAATGAAAGAAACATCTATTTAAATTGAAATCTAGCAAATGGCAGACCGAATGAAAAGAAATTGCATTATTTCCTTTCAACTGTCATTTATACATAAATATTAGTTTTGCTGACATCTAGTGAAATTTATCTATACTATTTTATTTTAATCAGTGATAGTAGTGTCATCTAGCGAAATAAAGTTTTTGTTTCCGTAATTTTATAGCAAAGCTGCCATCTAGTGAAATTTATAGAATTCTATACGGAGTGAGTCGCCATCTAGCGTAGACTAGCGATACTATTTAGTCATTTCTTAATTCTGATACTACCATCTAGCGTCAATTCGTTAGCATTAGCATCAATTATTACTATCGGAAGTCTTCATTCGTTTTATAATGGAAAACAAATACAAAGTAGAGCTACCTCCATATTTTAATAACCAACAGGGTTTTAATGTATCTTGAAACTTTGCTAATATTCTGTATATTTGACAATACCTCATAATTAAATTGATATTTGAGAATTTTGGAGGAGGCCTTTGTTCAACAGTCTGTTCAATTCAACGTTTTCCGGGCTGACATGTTGATGATAAAATTGATACTACTCCTTGTACTACTACGAGTAATATAAATTCCTCATTTCTAGCATTGTTCATCAGTTCTTATTTACCCTGAGGCAGTGTGGGACGTAGTTTGTGTTGCGGCTACTTCACAAACTACGTTGAGTATCTTATTAAAAATCTTGTTTTTGTTTATGTAATTATGATTATACCAATCTTCTATTGTTCCATATTCTTTTAATATTTTACGTGGACTGTTGTGTCCGGTACTGATGTGCTAAGAGTTGCTACGATAGACAGTTTGCAAAGTCATTCTACATACTATAATTTTTTTTACCTTTATCTTGCATTAATTCTCACCGTGGAACAGATACCCGAACATTTTCAGGATATATCCGCATGCCACAGGACTTTTTGTGACCGGGGTTATACGCCCACTCCAAACAGATTCTGTGTCGGCACCGGTGTGACGCCTCTTACGTCTTGATGACGCATTGAGGAGACAGCTGCATAATTTAATCATGTTGTGAATAGATGATAATCACTCCAAAGTTAACGGAGATTTTATAACTTTTTAGCCATCTATTGGTTAAAAAACATACCGCGAAAAGCATAGACTATCGGGATGGCAAGTCCTTAATAATTAATAATAGTAACTCCTCTCCTCTTTTATTCGTTCCTGTTTACAGTCATCTCCTTTTTTACCATATCATCTTTCACACGGTCCATCCATCTCTTTTTCGGCCTTCCTGTGGCCTTATAACCATTCATATGTAACACCTTCCTTAAAATATTATCTTTAGATGCCCATACCACGACAGATAATTACTCTCCAACATTTCCGACACCGGCGCCACTTTCATACTTGCTCTGGTGTATTCATTCTTTATCTTATCCATTTTTATCACACCACCCATCCATCTCAACATTCGCATTTCAGTTGCATGCAGTTGTCTTTCATCCGTTGCCTTTACGGTCCAGAACTCTGATTCATACAAGACAGCGGGCCGAATCATGGTTTTGAGAATTTTTTTCTTAAGTTTAAAGGGAACACGTGAGTCACACGTCATCGCCGAACCTGCCATTACTTTATCCATCCTGCTTTAATTTTGTTCTTTATGGTTCGGTATAATTCGCCATAGCTTTGAAGGAGTGAAGCTAGATACCGGAAATCGGAGCAGATCAGTATATATAGTGATATGGACGCAGAATCAGAAAGAACGTCAAATTCGCAAAAAATGTATTGTTTTGGAATGACTAATCTTTGCGAAAAATGCCCAGATAAAACCAGGCTACTACAAACGACGACCACTGGCCCTGGCAACATATAACGTTCAAACACTGCAGACTGACAAGAAGGTAACTGAACTGGAGGAAGAGTTGAGCAGCTTGCACAGACATGTTGTGGGATTACCTGAAGTCCGAAGAGAGGGGAACGACTCGATAGTCCTATAATCCATGAATCTACTATACTTCTGGGAGGGCCATTAACTGTTCCAAGGTAGTGTTGGGTTCTTTGTCCACAAGTCCCTTGTGAGTAATGTTATCAAAGTCGAAAACATGTCGACAAGGGTAGTGTAAGATCCACTAATTACGATGATGACTTAGGCTTTGAAGCCGGCCAACGGAAGAAAAACCCCAAGTAGCCCCCGTGACTTGTGACACGGATGTAGGTTTCAAAGGCCCTTTTGGAATGCATTAACACTCACCTTCACTACTTGTAGTTTCCGCCCAAGTCCAACTAAATCCGGGATTAACCCGTTTCTAATACAATTCACTTTAGTATCCAAAATACAAGCGGCACGTTCTGTGCTCGTCGACTGAATGCCATGATTTATTCAACGAAAGAGAATTATTCAACTACCGACCTCCGTATTTATAGACCGAAGTTATCTTATGACAAACAACTTAGTTTGGTCCATAAATACTAGATGGCGCCATTTACAATATTGTAATCATCTTTGCATTTAATACTTTATTAGTACTAAACAAAAACTACTTTCTTTTAATACTTTTTAAATATCGCATTTTTCTAAAATATTGGGCAATACAAAATAGTGAACCAATCAATTTTATACTTCTTAAGAAAAAACGTATTATATTTGTGTCAATGCTGATCACAACTCAAAATCCCACTTTTCCCTCATTTAAGTTCAGACACTAACAAAATAAAAAAAAGGATTCATGGATATTAATAAAGTTGTATACTTTCACTTAAAACAACGTTTGATGCAGAGGTAGCGCTAAGTATTACCAAACGGTATTTGTTGAAGGTCATCGAAGCGTACGCTCCAACTTCAACACACTCCGGCGATAAGCTTGAGCTATGTATGAGGATATCCCCAGTCCCCATAGCCATATATAGTACAAAAACTCATTTTATCATTATTTTGGGGGACTTTAACGTAAAATTGGGCAAAAGAAGCGGTGATGAGCTAAGAGTTGGGCAATTTGGTATCGGTGACCGGAATTTCCGAGGTCAAATGCTGGCCGACTTCTTGGAGACCGAGAGAGTCTTTATGATGAACTTCTCTTTCAGGAAGCCGGGACCCCGGAAATGGACGTAGATTAGTCCCGATGGTGCACAAAAAACTAAATCGAATTTCATTTTGTCAACGAGAAGACAGACTTTCAATGATGTCTTTGTGATCAGTGCCATTGTTGTTAAATAACAATAGGAAAATGTAAGGTGGGGTGACACAGTTTAGATACAGCAGTGCCTAGTAGACAATATTGAATTTGTCTTACTAGACATTATTAAATGCAATTATTAATTTGATGTATCTAGGTGACTGTGTCCCATAGCCATCATAATGCTGAGACCCTGGAAGACCATAGTAAAGTCTTATAAGGAGGTCTTAAGTTGAACATGGACAGGACGAAAATCATGTCAAACGCCTATGTCGTACCTGCTCCCGTAAAAAATCGGGAATTCTCCATTCGAAATTTTCCATTACTATGTATACTAAGGCAAACTATTTAGCTAGGTAGGTCCAATTTTGAGAAAAAGGTTAATCGTCGGACCGGAAGACACAACACGGGAAGTCCTCCGACAAGGTGGACCGAAAAACTGGTCAAGATAGCTGGAAATCGTTGGATGCAAGTAGCGCAGGACCAATCCATCGTCGTGGAGATTTCGGGGGAGGCTTTTGTTCAGCACTAGACGTCTTCCGGGCTGAAATAATGATGACGAAACTATCACGTTCCAACCTTTGTTGCCATATAACCAATCATTTGTGTATCTTAGTTCCCTCCCCACCAACGAGCACAATGTCATCTGCAAATAGCATGCACCAAGGTGCTCTTCTTGTATCTCCGATATTAAGGCATCTGTTATCAACAATGGTACGGGCTTAAAGCCGATCCCTGCCTACAGCCACACTGAACTCGCTGGTGTTGCCAGCGGCCGACCGAAAGTGTGTAGGAGGTTGGCTGTAAATAGCACAAATTTACTCCACATACTTCACTGGCACTCCTCTATCCGTCAGGTCCCACCACAAAAACAATAAACTACTTTATCATACGCCTTTTCCAGGTCCACAAACACCATGTGCAGGTTCTTGTGAGCACGTATGTATTTTTCATATAGCTGGTAAAAGTGCAAATATGGTAGTTCGGTCTGGCATAAATCTAAACTGCACGCAATCACTTCTCTATCACTTTCTCCCATACTTTTATATTGTGAGACATGAGTTTTATTCCCCGATAATTATTGCACCATTCGTTAAGGATCGCCACGTCCTGGAACAATTTATTAATGAATAAAGTTAGCCACTTTCAACATCTTCTCCTAATAATTTCCATACCTCTACTGGTATAACATCTGGCCCAATAGCTTTTCCATTCTTCATACTTTTCAGTGCTTCCCTTACTTCATCCATACCAATCTCATTCACACAGTTTTTTACCGAGACATCTTTTATAGCATCATCCTACACATTTGCATCTTTCAGAAGTTTTTCAAAATATACATTCAAATGGCCCTTATGTCGTCGTCTTTCAACAAAATTTCTCCTGGATAATTTTTTATACATTTTACTTGCTTCATAATTTTTACTCTTTTTTCTCTCGTCTTTATTATCCGGTATAATTCTTTTTGACCACTAGGGCCATGTATACCCTGTATATTTTATATAAGGCCCTTGTTCTGAATATTCCTACTACTTTATTTGATTTATTTTGAAAATTATTATAAATTATCTTTTTATCCTCTTTCTGAGGTTCATTCTCTGTTGGTACCTTTTGCCAATCTTTGAAAGCATTCTTCTTTTCTTTTAATATCTTTTGCATTTCTTAACTCCACCATCGTGTATTCTTAATTATTATAGCCTTTCCCTTAGTTTCTCCAAAGACCTCTTTTACTACCATTCTAGTATAATGTGCTATTTCATCGCAACATTCATTCACTATTCGCCGACTCCGGGCTTGTCCTAAGAGGCTTCAACCCAGCCACCCGGAGGTTGTTGCCCAAAAATAAAATAAATAAAAGTATAAAAAACGTAACTTACAAAATCAGTGCCATACT